GGGGGTGGGGCTGTTGCGCAGTCGCGAAGCACCAGTCACATGTCATGAGCTCAACAGATATGTTTTCGCCATACTCCAAATTCCATGCTCCATACTCAGGAGTCGTGCTGTTTACTCCTATGATCTACTCAGATGAACCCCTGCCCTTTGCCATATCCGCAGCGCGCCAGGCCCAAGAACTGTAGCCGCTGTAGCGGCTGTAGCCGACATGGCGCCGCACCTGACAGCCATGGAGTTGGACAAGATGTCCGTCCTTCAAGCTGCAGGTAAGACCCCGATTCAAATAGCGGCTTGGTTAGCGGTACAACGCCACCGCAAAGGCATAGTGCCTCCTAACCTGACGGCTGTCCGACGGGCGCTACATGGTCAGTCCCACAGAAGGGGCCAGCCAGAGACCCGCGGCCGCAAGAGGACGCTGAGTCAGAAGCAGGTGCGCAAGTTAAACCAAGTCCGCAAAACTTTGTTGAAAAAGTCGGGGTCAGAGTCTAAGGTGACTTATCAACAAATCCTGCGAGTTGGCCGGGTCGCTCGGAAAGTGTCGAGCACAACCTTGGCCAAAAATTTCAAAGCAGCGGGCTTTGATGTCAAGTGGCGTCCAGCCCGGGAAGGCCAGACGCTGGACAAGCAGGCTCGGGCGGAGCGTTTGCGCATTTGCCGCAAGTGGCGCTACTTACCATCCAACTATTGGACGCACAAGGTTGATGCCATCTTGGACAACAAGAAATTTCACATCCCTACTCATGTTGCGGCCCTGCGGTCCCTCAAGAGAGGAAGGGTCAAGGGACACTTGCGGACACGGGCAGAAGGCACTGCCGAACAGTGCAAGAAGCCCAACCCACGCAAGAACCGAGTGAACCCTGGCGGCTCCGTGACCGTCTGTGCAGGCATCATTGATGGGAGATTGCGCCTTTGGCGGCACTTGGACAAAGGCAAGTGGAACGGCCTTGTTGCTGCCAATATCTACCGGGGTCCTTTGCTCAAAGCTCTCCAAAAGTACCGTGGCATGAAGGCCAAATATGTGGTGTTGGAGGACAACGACCCAAGCGGCTTCAAGTCTGGCAAAGGGCTGAATGCCAAGAAGGAAGTTGGCATCAGGGCTATCCCATTTCCGAAATATTCACCTGATTTGAACCCGCTTGATTTTCATGTCTGGCACGCAGTGGAGGAGCGGGTCATCAAAAAGCTTCAAGGCCCAACTTCTGTCAAACAGTTTGGCACTTTGCTTCGTGCAGCTGCTAGATCTTTGAAGAGAGATGCCATCCTTGCAGCTGTTGCGTCCATCAAAGACCGGGCGAAAGCTGTTGTGGCCGCCAAAGGCGGAACCATTGCCCGGGATTGACGGGCTCATTCGTTTCACATCGCATTGCTTCGTGCATTGCCAAGGCCGGACTCTTGCATGCCTGATTGAGCCAAACAGGGGCGCAGCAGCTTGCGAGGTTTTGGTTGGATAAGCATTACTGCAGCTCCAAGGTTCTCAGCTTCCAAAGTCTCGCGCCTGCCACCTAAAACTCTTGTGCCTGCCACGCTTTTCCTATTTCCCCAGTTCAGGTATGTGATTTGCATGGCCCTGCCCATGCAACGCACATGCAACACACATGCAACACACATGCAACACACATGCAACACGACATGCAACACGAGCATTTTCCCTGTAAATTTACAGTCAACGTGCAGGATTTGACGTTTGCAGCCCAACTCCGGTCTTAGAATGAAAAGTCTAGATTTTCACCCCCGCGGGCACATTTCTTGGAAATTTACAGGGAAAATGCTCGTGTTGCATGTCGTGTTGCATGTGTGTTGCATGTGTGTTGCATGTGTGTTGCATGTGCGTTGCATGGCAGGTGTGTAGGATTGAGCATCCACTGTCCAAACTGGTGCGCGTGCCACGCGGAACGACAGCCAGTGCATCCCCACAGTGCGGAATGAGGTTGCCTAAGACTGTCGCTGTATGTAGTATGTAGTTAACGCAGCGCGACCAATGTTGGCGCGCCTGCACAGGTGCAAGCACACACCCACACATACACACACAAAGAAACACCAGCACACCAATCTAATTCCGATTTTCTGACACTGTGTCGGCATCATTCTCACATTTGTCTGCAGCCATTTTGCTTTCTGGGCTTTGTACAGCGTTTTTCCCCATGGAAGCACATGCTGTGCCAGCTGAAGCAAGCCTGAAGGCAGCAGTGCAAGAACTGTTGCCAGTCGTGGATTTCCAAAGATGCAGCATTCACGACTTCCGCCGCAAGCTTGAAGAGCACCTGCAAGTCACAGCTGGCAGTTTGGAACCCCATGCGCAGGAAGTTCGAAGCATTCTGGAAGAGTGTTTGCAAAATGCCATGGCCCAAAAGGCAAGCATGGCTCAGCAATCCACTGACTGCGACATGGGCGTGGAAGATGTCAGCAAATCCAAAAGAGCCTATTTGGTCACTTTGCCCCACACAGAGGCAGAGACCAGTGCTGATGGTCACAGGCTTGTGCCCCCAAGGAATTTCACACCTCAACAGATTGGAGCCTGCTTTCATGCTGCTTTGACAGCAACACAAGCGGGTCGACAGGCCCCATTGGCTTTCCTTCTCCTCTCTGTCTTCTTGGAAAGGCACAACAACGGGGAAGTTCATTACCATGTGGCTTTACTTGCTGACAGGTGCTTCAGGTTCATGCCGCTGAAGCGCGAGCTTCTCCGTGCGAATGGTTTGGCTTCACATTGGTCATGCAGCCATGACGGCTATTCCTCCTGCGTAGCATATTGCTACTTGCCATCCCCTACGAAACCCATGGAGGAGCTGGATCCACATCCATGGTTATGGGCGGCAAATAATGCAACACACCCGCCACTGGCAGAGGCGAGCCAAGCCCCCGTCACCAGCAACGCCTGGGCCAAAAGGCGAGAGCGGGACAGGCTGCAACGCCATGCCAGTGGAAAAGGGGACAAGCGCTGGCGTGAGGTTGACCTCTGGCCCATTGCCGTGGAGCAAAACATCCAGCCAGGACCCGATGCCGGGGAGCGCCTCATGGCCTATGCCAAGAGGTGTGGTGGGCCCATGATGGTGGATTTTTGCTTCCACAATTGGGACCGGTTGCAAGCCATCGTTGAGAAAAGCTGGAAGGTTCAGCATGTCGAGGACTACATTGCCTTCCAAGCCAAGACGCGGTGGCAAGTCTTGCAGGATGCGCAAGACAATGCTTGCACTTGCAATGGTGCTTGGGCTGGCCATGCGCAGCAAATCTTGCAGCAGAATGGCATTCAAGAGGCACAGTGGTGTCAAGCCATGGCCACTGCCTTGAAAGATGGTCGGGCCAAAGGCGCCCTTGTCTGCCATGCTGGATTACATGGCAACGAAGGAAAGTCTTTCCTTTTCAGGCCATTGCTGAAAGTCTTTGGTCCTGACGCAGTGTTTGTGGCTCCTCCATCCAAAAGCTCCTTCCCACTCATGGGTTTGGAGAAAGCACGCTTGGCCTTCTTGGATGATTGGCGGTTCAATGAGGATGTCATTCCCTACGCTTTGCAGCTGCTCTGGTTTGAAGGGGCTCCATTTATTATTTCGAGGCCGCAAAACCAATTCTCTGGGCACTTGCGGTACTCCAAGGATGACCCTGTGTTCATCACAACTTTGTCAGCTGACATTACAGAACTTAAGGGAAAAAAGTTCTTGCAGCAGGGGGATGTGGATATGATGTTGAAGCGTTTGCTTGTCTTCAACTTCACAAAGCCCATCCAGATTCCCAAGCATGTCATCCAGGGATGCGGCCACTGCTTCGCCCATTTCCTGTTGCGGCACATCACAGCTTCTCCCTCTCCGGTGGCAAATGCATCCCGTCAAGGCAGTTCTGACCATCGCCCCGTTTCTGTTGCAGATGCGGAGTCATGGTCAGTTGAAGAGGTCTTGTCCTTTTTGCATCAAATCTCATTGGGGCACTTGGCGCCTACATTTCAAGAGAATGGCGTTGATGGCCAGATGCTCTGCGAGCTGACCTCGGCAGAGCTGGTCGACAACTTGGGCTTGAAGCCGCTGCAAGCCAGGAAGGTGATGAGCCGCTTATGGGCATAAGAATGGCAAGGTCTCTGCTGTGAGTCGCCTGCGTGTACCATATTAAATTTGTGCTATGCACTGTGCGTGCAATATGTTTCATGCACCTGGAAATGCATAATGTCAGTCAATGTCCGTGTGAAAAAAATGACAGGAAGCTGAGAAGCAAACAAAGGGGTGAATGCTGTTATGTTTGTTCTGAGTCCGGGTTCTTCAAAAAAAACAGCCATCCTATGAAATAGAAGACCATAGACGTTATGTCGCCCCCGTCCCCCAATTCAATGTTGTACTCTGAATTATGTGTTTGGCGGCCTTCAAAAAAAACAACCATTTCTGTTCATGGTGTTCGGCACTTCCAAGCACAACATTGAAGTTGGGGGTTGCGGGGGTCATGTATGTATCTATGTGGTTGTTTGTGGATGGCTGTTTTTTTTGAAGAACCCGGTATCAAGATAGCGCTGCTGAATCCATGCAGCTCTTTTAACATGTTGTCGAGGGGGTTTTGGCGATTTTTCTTCTAGTCCGTTTGGGGAACTGTTTTCAGTTTTTATCTTGGGGCTAGGAGTCTGTGGGAAACGTGGCGCAGGGGCTATGTGTTCGATAATTTTCGCAGCTACTATTTGCAATTTGCGCTACAAATGCTGCTGCTAGTGGCCACACTTGAATTTATTGCGGGCTTGGGGTTTAATTAAAAATGAATCAGGGTTTGTTTAGGGTTGGTTTAGGGCTATGAAATGTTGGTCCAAGGTTTATTGGGGTTAAGGGCTGCTTTAGGGTTTATATATATATATATATGTGTGTGTGTGTTTATCTACGTTTGGTTTCGGATTTGATTAGCTGGGTTTAAGGTTACTGAAGGTTGGTTTGGGGTTTCCTGAAGGTTGGTTTAAGTTTCTATTTAAGGTCGGTTGGGGATTAGTTTTTGGTTGGCTGAAGGCCGTTTAAGGTTTATTTAGGGTTGACTTACTGCTACCTAGCAGAAAAGCAGAGAAACAAAAAACAATTGAAATACAAGAAACAGAGAAGCGGAGCAGCAGAGAAGCAGACAAACGAAGAAACAGAAAAGCGAAACGAAGAAATAAATAAGTAGGAAAAGAAGCAAACGCAAAGGCAATAGCAACCATACATAAAATCAGAACAAACCGAGACAAAAAAACAATTGAAAGAATGATTGCTTATTATGATTACCCTTCCTCTGGTCGGGTCACTTGTGAGCGGCTGCGCTTCCTGGTCCATGACCATCGCGACTCCCTTGATTCCCGCTGTCAAGGCGAGTGCAAAGGCGCTCTCCATGGGATCACTTCCCAGTTCGGCTTCAATTCTCCACTGGTTGTTCGCCTGGGCGATTTTGCACAGGATACAATGTAGTCTAAACTATTTTGACGGAAGTAAATGCCTAAGAGAAGGGCACCTAAAGAATTCTAACGCGAGGTACCATCCAATTAAGATAAACAAAATACATAGCGGAATGGCACAGCTTAAATACAAATAAGGAAAACACATCAGCACATAAAAGAAAATGAGCAAACATGTTGGTCAAGCCTTTGAACAATAGTTATTCGTCGACCAATGCCTAACGTTGGCCTAAGCAGGGCGGCACCTGGGATCACCGCAGGTGTGCGACCTTGCTGTGTGTAGGCCTCAGCATTTGCTTTGCTTCACCATGCTTCACCCAAGCCAAGGGGTTGCTGGAAGTGGTGGCCATGGAATTGCCGCAGAAACTGCTGTTAAGGTGCTGTGCTGAAAATGCAGAATTTGGCAAATTGATGCCGGTGCTGGTGATTATGCTTTCGGAGGCCAAGTGGATGCCAGCAAGTGAATCTTTAAGGGGTTCGAAACTGGTGTTTGGTATGGGGTGCTAGGTGTTCTGCTTTCCAATTTTGACAAGATAAAATCATGTCGAAAAACTGTTGGGGTTAATTCCATTTCTTGGACACATGTTTCCTTCCTTTTCTTTGTCTGCCCTGGCCCCCACACTGTAGCAGCAACCCCGCAGCATGGACCCCACCGCCAAAGGCGCGACAGAGGTAACAAAACACATGCAATCATATTATGCAATTAACTCTTCCACGTGAAGATTCCACAGTTGATTTTGGAGTAAACATGCATCTGTAATTAAAATAGGCCAAGGCACATGGCCCTAAAAAGAGTGTCAGCCCATTTAGTGCTTTAAATTGCACAAGTAAATGGTAATAAGACCACAAAGTCACGCACATTCCTGGTCAAACTGTCAGACCTTTCAATAACACGACTCTAAACTGCAGAGTAGACATGACAAAGTCAAACGAACAAAACAAACATAAACTAATTTACAGCACCAATTAATACAGAGTAATGTTTGTATTCTAGATGTTTTATGCTGTTTTCATTTATGTGAAATACAGAATTCTCTGTTCAAACCAGCGTGTGTTTAACAAAATTAAATAGTCAACTGTTATATTGTTGAAATTGATTGTGTAAATTCAAATAGTCAAATCTTTCAAGGGGCTAACCGCTAACCCATAAGTGACAAATATATTAAGGATAGTCAAACAATCACCATGATAATTGGGAATGTTAGTTACAATTATTATTCTGAGCAATTTTGGCCGGTCATCCAAGACTTCAATGCATGGCTATATGAAGCAGTGGGTACCATAAATGAGTGGGCATTGAAACATCCTTAAAAGAATGGGCCCAGCCAAGGTGCAACGTGCAGTACGAATACATATGACATTTATGCAAACACAACTCACACAGTCGACCAAAGAAAATGTATATATTGTACATGTCCTTGCCGTCAAACTCTACACTTATCACCATTTATCACTTAACTTAACCGTTATCAGGACAAACAAACCAACAATTTCAACAACATCAAATATGTCGGATCCAGACGCTGTAAAGCTCAGACTAGATACATGCATGAGCGGCAAAACAAATCCAGAGGGTATGGCGCTGTAAGCCTGTCATAAGGGCAAAGGAAATACTTCAAGAGCACAAAGGAAATTATTACAACGATATATAAGCACTGTTGACTGAAGTTGCACCACTGCAGAACAAACGCAAACAGTCATATCCAGTTCTTTGCAATGTTCACTTCTGGCGAACAGCAAAAAGAAGGTGATATTCGAAGGCTAGGCCATTTTCTGTAAGTGCGGCAAGCGTTGAGGCTTCTTATCCTATCAAACTTTATTCAACACATTCGACAGCGGATAGTCTTTTTTTAATGTCAATCACAAATTTGTTTGTTTCTGTTTCAGATCAGGGTTGAAACACAATCCAGAGAAGATCCCAGATTTTCCTGATTGTGTTTCAGCTGTCTTGTGTCTTGTGATCCATGCTACTTTTCATGGCATAAACATCAGTGACTTGTGCGTTCTATAGTAATAGTTTATTTCGCTCATGCCAGTGTAGCCTTCAAACTTTGAGGGCTGAATCGGCAAAGAACATATTTTTTTCGACCATTTGGCAATGCTTTGGGCTGTTTAAGGAGGGTTCACATAAGTCAGGATCGCTCGAAAATGCTTTTAATAATTAAGAAAAGGGTTGTTTTGGAGGAGCCGGGAGCATTCCCGAGCGTTTGAGGGAAGGTTTCATAAAACATCATAAAACAACATAAAACATCATAAAACATCACAAAACATCATAAAACTATATGTTTTTAAAAAATCTTAAAATACGGCACCAAGAGCTTCAGCCTGTTTGCTGCCTACAACGTTCGCGTTCTCGGAAAAATCTCAAGATCACAGCGCCACGTCCCCCTTAAAATTCGGACCAGGGGGATTGAACCCCGCCGTCACCCAATTGCCACCTGGTACGTCAGCCTGGAAAACTTGCAAGATCACAAACCATAAACACCACCCACATGACCATGTTTGTGCCAGTTTGTCCCGCTCTGAACGCGGACCCCCTAAACTCGTTTCCCTCGCATCAATAACTTCAGCCAAGCCCACCGGCTGGCTTTCGTGATATCACTTTGGCGGGCCGAACCTCAATGTATGTATATTGAAAATATATAATAGATACATGTTAGGCTACATTTCAAACTGTTAACATATGTAATATATGATTCACCAGACTACTCAAACGTCCATCTACTCATTAATCATGTCGCGCAAAGGTCCTCAGCATAAATCAGACCCTTTTAGAGAGAGAATTGGAAATATTGGAAAAACAAAAAGCATCAAAGTTGACCGCAATAAATGCGATTGTCAGAGTGGGGCTCAACCAGTTTTTCGCATCGACAATTTTAACAGGATAGTAGTGGTATGTCTTGAATTGCATGAAAAAAGGGGTGATATAGATATCTGGTATGTATGCCCTCGGCTTGGATTTGCTGTCATATGCTGATGTATAGCCATCTTCAAGAAAGTCACGTTTGTTATTCTAGGCATCTGCGATCCAAAGACTTCGAACATGGGATTTGAAACGATTTGACCATTTGATGTGCCCTGAGAATTCCAAAACAAAGTTTGACACAGTTATAGTAATGGAACAAATCGAAGGAATGATTTGACTGGACGAAAACATGAGATCTATTATTCTGATAGAGTGACTTCACTATAATTTCACTGTGTATTGCTGCTCTTGATTGATGGTACGAGGATTTGGCTATTGTATAGTCAACCAAGTTAGGGCTAGTTTCAACTGCTTCAAATACCAATGAATTGAAGTTTTTACATGTTGTATCAAAGTAGTTTAAGAATCAAAGTTCCAAAACATTTGGGTGAATATTTGACTATCTTGAATGCACCTCAGCATAGATGACCATCTTTTTTTTGCAAAAGTAATTTCCTCTCATTTCACAACATTTCACCCTCAAATCATTTTTATGAATAGGCACCATCGCACTAGGCACAAAAGGCTCGCAAATGAAAAACGCAGCTTTGTAGCCTGTCTGGTGCGTAAAGGAGGGTGGAACATCCCTGATTCATCCTCAAAACTCAAAATAATAATCGGATTTAATTATGTAACTATAGGGTTTCAGCACGCTGTGCCACTGCCAATATAATATATTCTTCAAACACAAACACCACCGTGAAAATGGGCTAGTGTTCTCCTCCAAGTTGCAAACGAACATATCCAATATGCTGCATCAATCCAAGAAGTGGGGCCCTCTTCGGACAACGCATGGCATTGGATGGAATGCACGAAGTGCGGAAAGCTGGTGCCCCAGGAATGGGACCTTCCACAAAACGTAGGGGAGGCTTGGAGGGGCTTGGCAAAGGTGCACAAACGTTGGAAGAAAACAAATCAAAAACAACTTTGCCAAAAGCATGCCAAGTGACACAAAGTAATCCACCTGCCTGCCACCCCAAAGACTTACAAAGGAAACTCTTTTGCTTTGCGTTAGGGGCCTCACTATGTTGGCAACCACAAAGTGCATATTGCGCTCGAGAATAAAGCCTGAGTTGAACAAGTTGGGACATGTGTTTTCTCTTACGGTTCTTTGCTGACATGAACAGAAAGAAGATACTTTGTCTCTGTCTGTCCATTCAGATCCGAGCATTAATGTGAAACGAGCTAGTTGTGTGAGCACACGAGCTCGACAAAAGCGTTGCTGGTGAGAAGAGAAACTCTCGAAGTGCATCCACAAGCCCCGCAAAGTCAGAACCTGCAAGCCCTGGTTGCGGGGATGGGTTCCATCAGGCCCTGGAAATGGCTTGCAGTTGATCTGCTTCCTGTACTCATCCAAAGCCTCCGAAAATGACGTTCTACGATATAGCCGTTGGATCAGCCACGCGATTGGGAAGTGCAGCAGCGCAGCAACAGCAACCAGAGGAAGAGACACATAAATTGCAGTAACCTTGGCGCAGAGTGTCTTTCCATCACGGCAATGCACAAAACTAAACAAACACTCAAAAAAAACCTGATTAGATTCACTTATGCACAAAACAAATCTCTTTGCCGGCCAAAGGGGCGAAGACATGTCCCACACCGTTTCCGGATATGACTGCTACTTTGATGATTACAGGCAGCATTGCGACAAACAATATGCACACTGTCAGCATGCCGAGCAGATAAAAAAAATCAGCAGCGTGCAAAGAACCCTTGCACGTAGCGCAAGAGAACGGGGGACTCGTGTATTGCAGCAAAAGCTTTCTGCGTGCAATACTGCGAACTTTGATTGTGTTGGACTTCTTCTGGTCATGGTCTAGCCATATCAATCCTGTTCCCCTTGCCCGAAAACGCACCCTTCGGTTCACCAATCGAGACAGGCTTTTGGGAAGATCAACAATCGGCCCCTGCACGGAAAATGTGAAAATTGTTTTGCTGTCAGCTTGCCTTGGGTCCAAATATGATGATTTCGCATCCACGATCATCAAAGGAGCATGCAAAATCTCAAAAGCAAGGAAGGTTAAAATGACCACAACAGCTGCACCTGTCAAAAGTGCGAACAACTCTGCTGAGCTCTGGCGTGGCAGAACGTGACAAACATCTTTCTTTCCATCAGACCAAGCATTGAAGATTCCACACTTCCGGCAATCGTCATTCTGAAAATGGAAGTGAGGTTTGCCTCAGCTACAAACAGGGCAGGGGTCAAAACATGCGAAAACCGATTGCACACAAAATCCCAAAGGGCCAAAGGGTTCCAAGGGGTAAACTTGTTGCAGGACGAGCTGCAGAACATGCACGTCTGGAAACTGCTTTCCAAGGGCACCATATCTACACCGCGGAAGTGCTCGGTTGCAATCCTTCCGTCTGGCATCCGCAGGCTTCGAGCGGTGTTCAGCCCTAAATTACTATCAAAAATTGAATAGACAGCTGGGGTGTTAAACTGTGTCTGGAAATCGGAGGTATTCCAAATCTTGCAAAAGAATGGCTGATGCACATGGCTTATAAGATTGATCAGCACGTGGATTTTGCATGGTTTCGCCCTTGAAAAACCAATCGGTAGGAAAGCTAACATTGAGAAAAAGAAAAACAAGCCAGCGAGCTGAGAGACTGGTAGTTGGAACACTTGCAACGCTGCGTCAGGCCTTTGGACCTCAACGCAGTTTACAGGAAATATCGGACACGCAGTTTGAAAGATATACAAACACTTGTTAGACATACGAGTAGCAACAAATTGCACCTGAAACCTCTATCGTTCCGTGAATACAGTGGAAATCCGTTTTAGCGCCTGGAGTAGAAATTGGGGAGGCTGGGTAATTTTGACAATAAATAATGCGAGTATCGACAAACATATATCATACAGGTAAGTCGGTGGTAAAGGAGAGCCAACACTTGTGCACCAAGTGGCGCTGTGACGGTCTTGGAGCATTTGAGATATTCAGAGCTCACGGCTTTCAGACTTCTGTCCTTTGTAGCGTTGAAAGTCACGCCCCATGGGCAGTTCCGGCAGGAAACCGTCAAAGAGTCGATCTCAAAGCCATCCTGCTGCTGATTAGTTCAACAAGTTGCTGACTTTCAAACATTACGCAATTTAATTGGAAAACCAGAGTCCAGAGACAAACATAACTTGGTCCGACCTGCCAGGACTACTTTTTCTGAGAGGTTAGTCAAAATCCGAACATCCAAAGTCTCTCGCACTGACGCCTGCTGACACCTTGAGCCCGTCCTTGGCAGCCAGGACCTGCAAATTGTCGATGGGTGGCTCGTAGTCGATAGTCACTTGGTCGACCACCACAGAACTGGGCCGGGTGCTGAGCAACGCGCTGGACCAGGAGTGCAGGTGGATGCCTGACAGACGTACCTTCTCCTTCGGGCAGGACGCAAGGGAGAGAAAACCGGAGCTCAAGCGACCACTGGCGTTGAGGGCTGCATCCGCTTCGACATAGAACGTACTGTTTGAGCAAACGTCAGAGCATCCACTATTTTGCAACTCCACCCCATGGCCACCAAGGGCATCTTCAAAGAGAATGTGTGACCGATCATGCAGGTGGAGGCAACCTGCTGCCAGCACGCTGGAATTGTCGAGACCTTGGGCATCCTTCACCACCAAGTTGGATTCAGATGAAAGAAGCACTTGACCATCTACACGACCTCCGAAACCCGATCCGAGCGCTGTGGAGTGGCTGGCCGACAATTGACTTCTGTGCAAAGTCAAACCAAACACAGAAAAAGCACCACCATGTGCCCCGGCATCCGTGCTGAACATGGCCACGGTAGAATCCTGGATAACTGCGACTCCTTCAGCACTGAACCCTCCACCAAGCTGCCGGGCCGTGGCATTTTGAATGCTGACGGTGGACCTGCTGATCAAGGTCTTGCCTTTGGTATAGAATCCTCCTCCATATTTTCCAGCTGTCGCATTCCGAATGATGAGTCTTGAGCCGCTGGACGCCTTCAAGCCCTTTTCAGTGCGAAAACCTCCTCCATCTCCTGATTCAGCGTAACTGTTGAAAATGTTGACCGTCGAGTGGCCAGCTATCTCAGCCTCTCCAAGGGCATTGAAACCTCCTCCATGACTTCCAGCGGTCGCATTCTGAAGGCTGACAACTGAGTTGTTGGTCACCTGCAAGCGTCCGTCCGTATGGAAGCCTCCGCCAGCTTTTTCCGATCTTGAACTGGAAATGCTGACGCTTGACATCTCATCGATGACAACCTCATCAGCAGCACAAAACCCTCCACCATGCTGCTGGGCCGTGGCATTTTGAATGGTGACTGTGGACCTGCTGATCAAGGTCTTGCCCTTGTTATTATAGAATCCTCCTCCATAATTTCCAGCTGTCGCATTCCGAATGATGAGTCTTGAGCCGGTGGACACCTTCAAGCCCTTTTCAGTGTCAAAACCTTCTCCATTTGCTGCTTCAGCTTGACTGTTGGAAATGTTGACCGTCGAGTTCCCAGCTATCTCTACCTCTCCAAAAGCAATGAACCCTCCTCCATAGTTTTGTGCGTTCACATTTTGAAGGGTGACAACTGAGTTGTTGGTCACCTGCAAGCGTTTTTCGGTTGAGAAGCCTCCGCCCTGATTTGCTGATCTTGAACTGTAAATGCTAACGCTTGACATCTCTTCAATGACAACCTCATCAGATGCACAAAACCCTCCACCAAACTTCTGCACCGTGGCATTTTGAATGGTGACTGTGGACCTGCTGATCAAAGCCCTCCCCTTGGCATAGAATCCTCCTCCATATTTTCCAGCTGTCGCATTCCGAATGATGAGTCTTGAGCCGGTGGACACCTTCAAGCCCTTTCCAATGCGAAAACCTCCTCCATCTCCTGTTTCAGCGTGACTGTTGGAAATGTTGACCGTCGAGTGGCCAGCTATCTCAACCTCTCCAAGGGCATTGAAACCTGCTCCCGTAGTCTGCGCGGTCACGTTCTGAAGGCTGACAACTGAGCTGTTGGTCACCTGCAAGCGTCCGTTCGTATGGAAGCCTCCGCCAGCTTTTTCCGATCTTGAACTGGAAATGCTGACGCTTGACATCTCATCGATGACAACCTCATCAGATGCATAAAACCCTCCACAACACTCCTGGGCCGTGGCATTTTGAATACTGACTGTGGACCTGCTGATCAAGGTCTTGCCCTTGTTATTATAGAATCCTCCTCCAAAATATCCAGCAGTCGCATTCCGAATGATGAGTCTTGAGCCGTTGGACACCTTCAAGCCCTTTTCAGTGTAAAAACCTCCTCCATCTCCTGTTTCAGCTTGACTGTTGGAAATGTTGACCGTCGAGTTCCCGGCTATCTCTACCTCTCCAAGGGCATTGAAACCTGCTCCAGTAGTCTGCGCGGTCACGTTCTGAAGGCTGACAACTGAGCTGTTGGTCACCTGCAAGCGTCTGTCCGTAAAGAAGCCTCCTCCCCATCTCGATCTTGAACTGGAAATGCTGACGCTTGACATCTCATCGATGACAACCTCATCAGATGCATAAAACCCTCCACCATGCTGCTGCACCGTGGCATTTTGAATGGTGACTGTGGACCTGCTGATCAAAGCCCTCCCCTTGGCATAGAATCCTCCTCCATATTTTCCAGCTGTCGCATTCCGAATGATGAGTCTTGAGCCGGTGGACACCTTCAAGCCCTTTCCAATGCGAAAACCTCCTCCATCTCCTGATTCAGCGTGACTGTTGGAAATGTTGACCGTCGAGTGGCCAGCTATCTCTACCTCTCCAAGGGCATAGAAACCTCCTCCAGAAGTCTGCGCGGTCACGTTCTGAAGGCTGACAACTGAGCTGTTGGTCACCTGCAACCGTCTATCCGCTTGGAAGCCTCCGCCCCATCTCGATCTTGAACTGGAAATGCTGACGCTTGACATCTCATCGATGACAACCTCATCAGATGCACAAAACCCTCCACCATGCTGCTGGGCCGTGGCATTTTGAATGGTGACTGTGGACCTGCTGATCAAAGCCCTCCCCTTGGCATAGAATCCTCCTCCATATTTTCCAGCTGTCGCATTCCGAATGATGAGTCTTGAGCCGGTGGACACCTTCAAGCCCTTTCCAATGCGAAAACCTCCTCCATCTCCTGTTTCAGCGTAACTGTTGAAAATGTTGACCGTCGAGTGGCCAGCTATCTCAACCTCTCCAAGGGCATTGAAACCTCCTCCATTTTTTTGTGTGGCCACGTTCTGAAGGCTGACAACTGAGCTGTTGGTCACCTGCAAGCGTCTGTCCGTAAAGAAGCCTCCGCCAGCTTTTTCCGATCTTGAACTGGAAATGCTGACGCTTGACATCTCTTCAATGACAACCTCATCAGATGCATAAAACCCTCCACCAGACTGCTGCACCGTGGCATTTTGAATGGTGACTGTGGACCTGCTGATCAAAGCCCTCCCCTTGGCATAGAATCCTCCTCCATATTTTCCAGCTGTCGCATTCCGAATGATGAGTCTTGAGCCGTTGGACACCTTCAAGCCCTTTTCAGTGTCAAAACCTCCTCCATCTCCTGTTTCAGCTTGACTGTTGAAAATGTTGACCGTCGAGTTCCCAGCTATCTCTACCTCTCCAAAAGCAATGAACCCTCCTCCATAGTTTTGTGCGGTCACATTTTGAAGGGTGACAACTGAGCTGTTGGTCACCTGCAAGCGCCCCTCCGCTTGGAAGCCTCCGCCCTGGTCTCCCGATCTTGAACTGGAAATGCTGACGCTTGACATCTCTTCAATGACAACATCATCAAATGCATAAAACCCTCCACCAAACTGCTGCGCCGTGGCATTTTGAATGGTGACTGTGGACCTGCTGATCAAGGTCCTCTTGGCATAGAATCCTCCTCCATATTTTCCAGCTGTCGCATTCCGAATGATGAGTCTTGAGCAGTTGGACACCTTCAAGCCCTTTCCAATGCGAAAACCTCCTCCATCTCCTGATTCAGCGTGACTGTTGGAAATGTTGACCGTCGAGTGGCCAGCTATCTCAACATCTCCAAGGGCATAGAAACCTCCTCCATGATTCTGCGCGGTCACGTTCTCAAGGCTCACAACTGAGCTGTTGGACACTCGCAGGCGTTTTTTGGTTGAGAAGCCACCTCCGCTTTTGGTGGATCTGGCATTCTGAATGAAGATCATTGAGTTGTCCTGAGCCAATCAGCAATCGCACAAGAGTCAGTTGAGAGAACAAACAAATCAAAAGAGACATGTCTTTCAGCAACATGCTGCTGTGGGAGTCACAAAAAATACGTGTAACAATGCGCACATGGGAATTGAAAATGCTGTGAATGAGCCTGTTAGCGTCCTTTTACACAGCTCTTCAGCATGGCAGCGAACGCACCGAGTGCCCCACCGAAATGTAGACACTTCCCATGGCAAAGAAGCCAGCACCAGACTTGGCTGAAACGTTCTCGATCACGACTTCAGAGTCTTGGCGCACATTCCTTGGGGACCGAGTCTCATCGCATTGAAAAGGTGAACATCAGAGGAGTTTGGCGTCCACCACAACAGTAATGAATATTGCATCTTGTATGCCAATTGAGAACCAACCAGAAAGGCCAATCATGATCTTGGCGTATGTCGCAAAGGAAGCACCCAAAATGACTTACACATGCCTCTCTGCGTTGACTCTGCTCTCCTTCTCTCTGCGATCGGCAATACTTTTTACGGTTTCCACATTTTCCCATGGACGACAAACGACGACGCATCAGCTGCTGTAATCCATGGCCTTTTCGATTTGACTGTGTCACGTGCTGCTCCTTAGTCAGCCTGCCTAAGGGATCTAATGGCCCCCTAGTTCTGCACCTACAGGCACTGCCCCATCTTATGTTCCGGGGAGTTCGCATGTCCATATCTCGAAAAACAAGGTGGGCCAGAGAGCCCAAAAGCAAGACGGCAAACAGCACACGTTTTTAAAAAAATGTGGTGTGGGCAGCTGCGCTCTGAACGAAATCGGCCTAAGATCTTTACTGAAACATCGTGCGCACTGATGGTATCAGGGGCCACAATTCACCACAGCATGCTGTGTCAGCTACGTCTACATTCTTCTAGTCGCTGTTTCTGCTAATGTAATTAACTCTATCCCATCTTTCTAGTCGCTATTTATTCCAGGGTTCTCGTTTAGTTTGCTTCGCCGCAGAGGGAGCGAGGACAAAGCGTGGACGGACAGAACACCGTGCGAAATGAAAACTAAACGACGGAGGGAGTTGACCACAAGAGCATGAAAACGAAGATATGAAGGTGACAGAATGATCATGAAAAATGAGACATGATGAAAGATGGGTAAAGACTTCTCTGTACAAAAGCGTCTATGCGAAAAACTACTGTGTGTAAACGCGTCTGTGCGTACAAGTTTCTTTTGCGTAAAAGTTCCTCTGTGCATTTTTTGTGAGAAAACTTCTGTGTGTAAAAGTTTCTGTGTGTAAAAGTTTCTGCGTGTAAAAGTTTCTTTGCGTAAAAGTTTGTGGAAATGTTTTTTGTGTAAAAGCTTCTGTGTGTAAAAGTTTCTGTGTAAAACGTCCTTTGTGTGTAAAAGTTTCTGTTTGTAAAAATGTCTGTTTGTGGAAGTTTCTTTGCGTACCAGCTTCTGTCTGTAAAAGTTCCTCTGTGTTAAGGTTTTGTTTGTGTAAAAGCTTCTGTGTGTAACAGCTTCTCTGTGTAAAAGACTTCTCTGTGTCAAAGCCTCTGAGTGTACAAGCTTCTCTGCGTAAAAGTTCCGTGTAAAAGCTACTCTGTGAAAAAGTTGCTCTGTGTAAAAAGCTTCTCTGTGTAAAAGCCTCTGTGTGTGCAAGCTTCTCTGTGTCAAGACTTCTTTGTGTAAAGATTTCTCTTTGTCAAAAACTAGGTCACGTCATAATTCCGGTCCCGCTGTTTTTGCGAGTTCTCAACATGCTCCATGCATAAAATCGACAATCCTTACAGGGTTTCTGTTTTCTCTTTGACAAACCATCATCCATTTTCGATGGTATTTGCATGACTTTGAGGCTATGAATTCGCAGTTCTACCCATGTTTAGCATCCATGTGCAACACACGCGTTTGAAAAAAAACGGACTTTTTTGTCTCAGCACGTGGAGGCCAAGTCAGCCAGCTTCTTCAACGTGTTTGCGTTACCCGAACCCCCAGGTGCAGCGTAACATCATCAGCGTAACATGAACGTTAACATCCCACCCCACCCCACCCCAACCCCCACGAGCAGCGTAACATCATCAGCGTAACATGAACGTTAACATCCCACCCCACCCCACCACAACCCATGTTTGCTAAAAACAAACATATTCCACGGGGCCGTTCCTTGGGCGTGAGCAAAAACTACTCTGTGTAAAAGCTTCTGTGTGTAAAAGCTTTCCTGTGTAAATGCCACCGTGTGTAAAGACTCCTCTGTGTAAACCCGTCTGTGTGTAAAAGCTCCTTTGTGTAAAGGGTTTTTTGTGTAAAAGCTCCTGTGTGTAAAAGCTTCTGTGTGTAAAAGTTTCTGTGTGTAAAAGCTTCTGTGTGTAAAAGTTTCTGTGTGTATGTAAAAAATACTTCTGTAAAAGCTTCTGTGTATAAAAGCTCCCCGGTGTGTACAAGCTTCGTTGCGTAAAAGCTGCTCTATGTCTGTAAAAGTTCTGTGCACCGCAAAGTTGTCTGTTTGTAAAACCTTCTGTGTGTGAACGCGTCTGTGTGTACAAGGTTCTGTGTGCAAAAGCTCCTCTGTGTAAAGGCTTTTCTGTGTAAACGCGTCTGTGCGTAAAGGCTCCTCTGTATAAAGACTTCTCTGTGTAAACGCGTCTTTGCGGAAAAGCTTCTCTGTGTAAGACTTCTCTGGGTAAAAGCTACTTTGTGCAAAAGGTTCTGTGCGTAAAAGGCTTCTGTGTGCAAAAGCTCCTCTGTGTAAAGGTTTCTCTGTGTAAACGCGTCTGTGCGTAAAAGCTCCTCTGTGTAAGACTTGACGGTGTAACAAGCTTCTGTGTGTGAAAGTTCCTGTGTGTAAAAGCTTTCCTGTGTCAAAGTTTCCTTGTGCAAAAGCTCCTGTGTGTAAAAACTTCTCTGTGTAAAGGCTTTTTTGTGTAAAAGCTTCTGTGTGTACAAGCTGCTCTGTGGAAAAGTTTCTGTGCGCCGAAAGAGCCTCTATTTGTAAAACCTTCTGTCTGTGTGTAAAAGTGTCTGTGTGTAAAAGCTTCTGTGTGTAAATCTCCTTTGTGTGTATAAGGACTTCTCTTTGTAAAAACTCCTCTGTGTCAAGACTTCTCTGTATAAAAGGCTTCTCTCTGTACAAGCCTTGTGTGTACAGGCTTCTCTGTGTCAAGACTTCTCTGTGTAAAGACTTCTCTGTGTAAAGACTTCTCTGTGTAACAGCTACTCTGTGCCAAAAAGCGTCTGTGCGTAAGGGCTTCTGTGTGTAAACGCGCCCTTGTGTCAAGACTCCTCTGTGTAAACGCGTCTGTGTGTCAAAGTTTCTGTGTAAAGGCTTTTTTGTGTAAAAACTTCTGAGTGTAAAAGCTTCTGTGTGTAAGAGCTTCTCTATGTAAAGGCTTTCCCGTGCAGAAGCTTCTGCGTGTAAAAGCTTCTGTGTGTAAAGCTCCTCTGTGCGTAAACGTTTTTTGTGTGTAAAAACTTTGTGTGCAAAAACTCCTCTGTGTAAAGACTTATCTGTGCACACCCGTCTGTGCGTAAAAGCTCCTCTGTGTAAGACTTCTCGGTGTAAAAAGCTTCTGTCTGTGAAAGCTTCTGTGTGTAAAACCTTCCCTGTGTAAAAGTTTCTCTGTGTAAAAGATTCTGTGTGTAAAAGATTCTGTGTGTAAAGTCCTCTTTGTGTACAAGCTTCTCTGTGTAAAAGATCCTCTGTGTAAAGCTCCTCTGTGTAAAGCTCCTCTGTGTAAAACCCGCGCCAACAGCTCCGCATTTTCAGTGCCGCTCCCACCCAGCAGAGCTCTTCCCAAGCTATTTCCCCACCTGTCCGTTCACGCTGATGCATATCCTATGCTTGGGTTATCGTTTAGTTTGCCTCGCCGCAAAGGGACCGAAAACCAAGCATCGACGGACAGAACGCCGAGCAAAATGAACACCCCTCCGGCAAAGAACTTTTTCCCATGCATGTCCGGCATGTCCCTTTGCCCAGCGTTTAGACACCGTTTGAGAAGTCTTTGGCACCAGTTTTTCGGGACAATCGCGTTGATGGAATTTGTCCTTGAAAATCCGTGCCAACCTTGCCGCTGTTGAGCGGTTGCGTGGTTGCATTTTGTTGCCCGTTTGTTGTTGTTGTTGTTGTTGTTGTTGTTGCTGTTGGTGTTGTTGTTGTTGTTGCTGTTGTTGCTGTTGCTGTTGCTGTTGCTGTTGCTGTTGCTGTTGCTGTTGCTGTTGCTGTTGTCGTTGTCGTCGTCGTCGTCGTCGTCGCCGTCGTCGTCGTCGTCGTGTTGTTGCTGTTGTTGCTGTTGTTGCTGTTGTTGCTGCTGTTGGTGTTGTTGTTGTTGTTGCTGTTGTTGCTGTTGCTGTTGCTGTTGCTGTTGCTGTTGCTGTTGCTGTTGCTGTTGCTGTTGTCGTTGTCGTCGTCGTCGTCGTCGTCGCCGTCGTCGTCGTCGTCGTCGTTGTTGCTGTTGTTGCTGTTGTTGCTGTTGTTGCTGTTGTTGCTGCTGTTGTTGTTGTTGTTGCTGCTGTTGTTGTTGTTGTTGTTTTTGTTTGTTGTTCTCTTGTGTTTTTGTTTTTTGTTTTTTGTTTTTCTTGTTGGAATGTTAGTGGTATGTGGATTTGTGGTTGTGGCTAGTGGTTGTTGGTTGTTAGGTTGTGGGGTTGTTATTAGTTGGTTAGTTGGTTGTTGTTGTTATTGTTGTTAAGATTGTTGTTTGTTGTTGTCTCTTGCTAAAAAGTTGTTGCTTGATTGTTGTTGTGTTGCGTTGCTGATTGCTGTTGCTGTTGCTGTTGCTGGTTGTTGTCCTAGTTATGTTGTATGTTGTATGGATATGTTGTTGTTAGTTGTGTGATTGTTGTTGTTGTTAGTTGTTGTTGTTGCTGTTGCTGTTGCTGTTGCTGTTGCTGTTGTTGTTGTTGTTGTTGTTGTTGTTGTTGTTGTTGTTGTTGTTGTTGTTGTTGTTGTGTTTGTTGTTTGTTGTTTGTTGTTTGTTGTTTGTTGTTTGTTGTTTGTTGTTTGTTGTTTGTTGTTTGTTGTTTGTTGTTTGTTGTTTGTTGTGTGTTGTGTGTTGTGTGTTGTTTGTTGTTTGTTGTTTGTTGTTTGTTGTTTGTTGTTTGTTGTTTGTTGTTTGTTGTTTGTTGTTTGTTGTTTGTTGTTTGTTGTTTGTTTTGTTGTTTGTTGTTTGTTGTTTGTTGTTTGTTGTTTGTTGTTTGTTGTTTGTTGTTTGTTGTTTGTTGTTTGTTGTTTGTTGTTGTTGTTGTTGTCGTCGTTGTTGTCGTTGTTGTTGTTGTTGCTGTTGCTGTTGCTGTTGCTTGTTTTTGTTGTTGATGTTGCTGTTGCTGTCGTTGCTGTCGTTGCTGTCGTTGCTGTCGTTGCTGTCGTTGCTGTCGTTGCTGTCGTTGCTGTCGTTGCTGTCGTTGCTGTCGTGGCTGTCGTTGCTGTCGTTGCTGTCGTTGCTGTCGTTGCTGTCGTTGCTGTTGTTCTTGGTATTGTAGTGGCAGTAGCAGTAGCAGTAGCAGCAGCCGCAGTAGTAGTTGTAGCAGCAGCAGCCGCAGTAGTAGTAGTAGTAGTAGTAGTAGTAATAGTAGTAGTAGTAGTAGTTAGTACTAGTACTAGTACTAGTACTAGTACTAGTACTAGTACTAGTAGTAGTAGTAGTAGTACTAGTACTAGTACTAGTACTAGTACTAGTACTAGTAGTAGTAGTAGTAGTAGTAGTAGTAGGAGTAGGAGTAGGAGTAGGAGTAGGAGTAGGAGTAGTAGTAGTAGTAGTAAGAAGTAGTTTCTTTTTTGTTGTTGTAGTTTTTGTTGTTGTTGCGGTTGTGGTTGTAGTTGTTGTTGTGGCTGTTTCTTTTTGTTGCTTGTGCTGCTGCTGTTGTAGCAGTAGTGTTTTTAGTATTAGTAGTAGTTGTTGTTGCTGCTGTTGTCTTGTTTCTTTGCTATCGCTGCGGTGGTGTTGGTGGTGGTGGTGGTGGGGGGGGGGGTGGGGGTAGCATGATCGGGGGTAAGTAACTGTATCTGGAGCGAAAGGATTGTAGTCGTAGGACGTGAAGGAATTAATAGGCTTAGGCATAGGGTCAGGGGGCAACGGTGGTAACTTTTTGTCAGTTCAATGGATTAAGACCAATGGCGCTGCTGGCTCTTGTTACTTTCATTCGTCTCAGGCTCTGTAGCCATGGCTTCACTTGTATGGACTGTTCCGTGGCAACTCCGTTAACGAGAAGTGGTCGAAATCAAAGAAACATGATTTGATTGATGGCAGGCGTGGTACTTATTTTGACAATGTGGCAGGTGACTATGCCACTGTGTACGCGGTTTCTTTCGAAGCCTGGTCGGATTGTTAAATAATGTCGCGACATCGATTGTAGCCCCGAGAATGAAATGGTGCAATCTACATGTCAGCAGGGTCATATGCTTGGTGATAGAATATCTGTTGTTCATCGATTCTTGAATATAAGGTGGATATCATCCAAATTCCAGACACCCTGATGGTCACATGTGTCTTGTTGTCTCGACTCCATTTCCAGTGTTTGCCCGGCCGCTTTGCAGTTTTCGGTGCTCAAGCCAGAAGTTCAGACCCGTCGACCCTCTAGTCGTTGCCATGGGGTCACAGGAGCCGCAGGAGTTTCACAGGGTGATCTTTGTGAGCGCAATGGCCCTGGAATCCGTCGTCCTCTGGGATGACATTGTCGAAAAATTCGAAGACAATCCGACTCTGTGCATGGGGGTGACTCAGCAAGAGTTGACGGACGTCGCACAGACCATGAGAAAACTCATGGACGGCGCGCACGATCGCAAGAACGATTTGCAAAGGACTTTGGAAGCTGCCTTGCAGCCTGTGCAAGAATTGCATCCTCGGCGACGACGATCTGAATTGGACGAAATGTGGGAAGCAGCCGAGGCTGCTCACGCTCACTTACCTACGGAAACGGAAAGCGTGCCGCTTCTGAACGCACCCCCTCTTCAGGCAGACGCAGATGAACCGACCATTAAAAAGGACGACCAGGACCAGGAAGATCCGGTTGGCCCTTGACAATACAATGGGTCAGGGGTCTACGGACCGGGGTCTACGGACCAGCAGGGTCTACGGACCAGCAAAGGCCTACGGACCAGCAGGGTCTACGGGCCAGGGTCTACGGACCGGCAGGTCTACGGACCGGAGAGGTCAGTCTACGGATTCAAGCCACTCCTCGGATCTACGGATTCTGGAATTTTTGATTTGGATATACGGTCTACTGGTTTTTAACAATCACAGTGTCGGTTGGACACGGCGGTCTGACTGAAACAGACTGCTTGAAGTGGCGGTTGCGGTCTTGACTCTGGAGAGAGACTTCTCACTGGGGAGTCGCTCTCCAGCTTCATCATTGTCATTGGCGATAGACTTGGTGATCTTGGTCAGTTTCAGCTGTAAGACTAAAACCTGTCAACCGTAAGCGTGGCAAAAAGAAACCGCGAATAGGGGTTCTGACAAAGTCTGACAGCTTGGTTCCGCGGCAAATACCAATGTGATGAATTCTGAACCGCCAGGCGTCTCGGCTCAAAAACGGTGAGTTTTACCGACATGACCGGAATGACTAAGAACAAAAAATAAAGACATGCAGATGTATCCAGTAATAAACTGAAAATAATATATATATATATATATATTGAGTTCATTGATGGATGTCTGGTAACTGTAACTTTAGACTTAGATGTCGGGGTGAGCCGCCGCCATGGACGACAAAGCTCGTCTGCTGTCACAGTTAGTCCCTGGGACGCTCGTCCTCCAACACCTGAAGACTTGTAAGTTGGAAACAAGAGGCTGCGGTCTCTGCACTTTGCACGAGGCTTGGAAGTTGTACAAGCGGCGAGACTGGGTCCGGGCCATTCTCAATGATGGCGTCATCGCAGTGGGATGCTCCACTTGTTGTAAAGCGGGATTGGACGGTTCTTGGGGGAACTTTAAACAACTTTAAACAGAAGCCCGGGGCTGTTCTGCGAAGGTTCTGCTTAGATAGACATGAAAATTCGAAGGGTCATCAAGCAGCGTCCAAAAGCCAGCCCACGGACTCAGCTTTGCATCTTGCGCCGTCACAAGAGTCCTTCGAAGAATTTCTCACTCAGGCTTTACAAGGTCAGTCAGTGAGAGATGGAGGCGTGACCTCAGATAAGCGCATCAAGATGCGCTGGGCCTTGACTGAAGCGATCCTTGCAAGGAACCGCAAACTGTTGGCAGACAGTCAATCGATGACGTTGCTTCGAGACGAGCGAAAAGGCAAACTCTTAGTCCGCTTTCGAGCGGTTCTACGAGACCTGTCAACCGTAAGCGGTTGTTTCGGGTTGTTGCCAGTCAGTGGCTCAGCGGACAGCATTGCCTCGGCTACAGACACTTTGATGGAAGCTTATTGCACTCCAATGAGGCAGCCACCTCGAGCCTCCTGTGTGACAGAATCGTCTGTGGATCAGGCCTTGCTTCAGCACTTGCGACAGACAGTCACAATCATTGTCACTGATGCGGCTGCTTCTGAACAGATTGCAACAGATTTGCAGCGTGGCCGGCGAGAGTTTGCAGACGAAAGCGGCCAAGGGACAATGAAGAACGTCAGAATTGTAGGCCAGCACACGGCTCCTCCAGCGGCCCTTCCCGGCATGCTCCGAGCTGAAGTGTGTCATGCAAGAGTGGTGCCACGGCTGTGACAGTTTTGCACAAAAAGTCCAGCATAGCCCTGTCTTGGCCCAATGGTGGAGCGACGAATGTGATTTTGGAAGTCTGACATCCTTAGCTGCGGCCAAGCATCCTTTTTCTTCATACTTGAACCCTCTGTTTCGCATTTGCAAGAATATACAGGCTGTGTTCAAGGTTTGTAGCCGGCTACAAGCCATGAGAGGCTCGGAAGCTGCTTGGGCCATTCAGTTGCGCAGAAATTTCTCCGCTTACAAAGCCGTGCTGCTCACGATGGCAGCTGATGCCTGCGCCATCAGCAACGATTACACTCGAGAATGTGATCAGGAAGGGATGGACGTTGCTCAGCTCAACTTGCGGGCTCAGCATTTCATTTCTTCGGCCAGGGCTTTGTTTGTGGAACGTCAAGTGTGCACCTTGCCATCCTTTACAAAGGACTTTTTGTCCAGAAAAGAGCCAGTTACCGTGATGCAAGACGGCTTCGCTTTGGAAGTGCGTGTGACGTCAGCTGACATCGACAAAGCTTTTGAAGTCATGCAGGACCTTGTTTTTGTGTAAAGTAAGTTTACATTGGTTGAATCAAAGTTTCTCTATGTCATTTTTGGGGATCAACCGGTGTTGCTTTCTGAATTTAATTTGTCTGTCCTGCAGGAGTGGACGGCTCTTGCAGAAGAAATGGTCGCCATGAATTTCCTAGCTGGCATTTGTTCGCAGCCTTTGAAGTCTTTCACTTGCCAGATTCCAACAAGGTGGCGCCCCCAAGTTATAAGTTAAGTTATAAGTGGGGTTAACTAGGGTTATAAGTGGGGTTAACTATAGGTTATAAGTAGGATAACTCATGTTGAAGATATAACTAAGTTATGGACTTATAACATGATTTATGTAACTTATACCTTATAGCATCAAAAAAGATAGTTAGAAGTTAAACGAGTTAGCTTTTTTCATGGTATATTTGATACCCTGTGAGTTTTGATAGTTTTTCATATGTTTTGGCAATATGTTGCAGGTTTTTTCGTCTCAAACGTAGAAAATAGGATCCAATAGTGGTTTATAGCATGGCAGCTGCAGATGTTCAACAGCCGGAGCAGCCGGAACAGGCTGCACTTCGTGCTGAAATGCAGGACTGGATGACTTATCCTGTCTTTATGCGTTGTACCATGTGGGATACCTTTTTTTCTGAGGAGACCCAGTTGAAGAAGATAGAAATGATTTTGCAAGCCATGGTGGACATGGGTTTGCGTCACCCAAGTGAGCGCACTTTGTGCATGGCCTGTGCCTTGATTGTACGCATGCCGCTGCAGGCTCCAGCGCCGCAGCCATCAGCGAACAAGGATCGCATCGAACTGGCGCAGGCGCTGTTGTCCACAGCCTTTCGCGAGATGCTCCGATAGACTAGACCGCTGCCGTGCAAAAAGAGCCAGCTCTGTGTGGGATGGGGACGGAATAAAAAACTAAGGTTTGGAGTATTTTTTGTGGTTAAAGCACCAAACGCGTAAGTGTAGGGTGATCAGACCAGCAAACGCATTTGTATTTGATGGAAAATGTTGCAAAGGCATATCTGTTTGTTTTGTGCATCAACAAACGCATATGTGGTTGGGAAACATAACGCCACAAACGCGTATGTATGGGATTTGTGTTTGTTTGTATTTGTTTGTGTTTGGTCCAGGGACTACTTTCATTACAACGCATCTGTGTTTGGTGAAATGGGAACAAACGCGTTTATATTCCATTCTGTTTGGTGTCAAAGAGGTTACAAACGCGTATCTGTTTACAGTCGGCAGAACAAACGCGATTGTGTTTGTTGCTAAAGATCAGAGGGATGAAATCCGACGTCTGTTTTTCCATCACCTTTCCCCATATGTTTGCCATATATAGCTCAATTTTTAGTCGCGTAGCTGTGCAAAGTGCTGCTGACTTCTCAGCATGGCACTGCCACCAGATGCATACGCAAATGCCAGCGGCACGGAATCACTCAGGACGTTCCGGATCACCAATCACAAGGTGATAAAAAAAATGGAACAGTCTTGAAATCCAAAAACGTGCAGCTGGTGGCGAAAGGAAACAGCTAATTCAATTGTACACTGCTTGCCGTGAACACAGCCTAGTGGCTGGCAAGTACAAATAAACTATGTAACGTGGGCCTCTTTGCAACACAAATTCGTGCTAACAACATGTAAGTTGCTGCAGCTATGGCTGCAGTTTCTCTTGGGACCAAAACGGACCCAACGTCTAAACCCAAAGGGTCACCTCGTTTCACGTTTTCGATGAAAGAATAAAAAAAGATTGGAAATCGAAGGTTGAACGCTCACTTTTTTAACGAAATGCCAAAAATAAGATACGTTTTTGTCCCAAATGCATCCAAGCTTCAAAACCCAACGAAAAAAGTTATACAAGTTAATACAAGTTATAAGTAAGTTACAAAATAGATACAAAATGACTTACGTAACTTCAACATAACTTTCTTAACTTATTTATAAGCTCTCTAACTTCAACTTAACTTGGGGGCACCACCTTGAAGGAATCTCGGACGCTGAACGGCGAAGACTTGGAAAGGAACTTGGCCAGGTTGGGTCAAGCACGAGAGTTCACACAGATGCAGCCGACCGCTGCTGCTCTAAAGAAATCCGCCAGTCACTCGAACCGGGATGCTTGGAGGCAAGCAGTTTTGCGAGTGGGACAACGAAGTCCGGCACAAAAAGCCCCCACAACTGCGCTTTGCACGGTTCTGGCGAGCTACCTGGCTTGGACTGCGTCTAACAGTGGGGTGGAACAATTATTCAGCACATTGAAAAATTCACCCACTGAGCAGTCCAAAGCAACGGGCATGGTTTTGGACACAGACAGGCGCACACCCATGGCCATGGGGGACTGTCAAGCTCGCGAAGCAACGATTGCTGCAGAAATCGTTTCAGAAGCTCGCCGCATTTATTGCACTTTGCTGCGATCCGGCATCTCTCGCACCACTACCCAGAAACGTTTCGACAAAGGTCGAACATCCACTAGCCGCAAAGGATCTCACGCTCAGTGGGATCGGGACAGGAAACAATCCTTGGCCACGGCCTTGAAAGATTTGACCACGCCGCCGCGAGCAGCAACCGCTCCCATGCTCACGGAGTCTACTGAAAAGGAAAGAGACTTCCAAAGAAAGAAAGCATTCAAACGGAAGGCGGAAGCCTTGTCTGATGGTTTGCTTTTGCCAGACGAGGTGACACCTGCGCTGGAACGCGCAGCCAGCAAAATGGCTAAGGCCAACCAGCAAGGCGATCGCCAGCGAAAAAAGAAACGTGTGGATTACATTGCGGAGTCGAAGATGGCTTCCGCGAAGACATCTTCAGTTTGGGCAAGTCAAGGCTTGCAGGGTCCTGTTTGGTTGGATCCCCGCTTGGGCACCCACACGCAAGCTGTCCAGCGCAAGGTTGCACACTCTGGGCGTCACTTCTCAGTCTCGGGCCAGGATTGCGTAACCCGTACAACTTGCATCATGTGGCCCTAACAGTTCAATTTGTGTTGCGCAAAATTTTTAATTAATCTCATGCCGGCCAGGACATGCAGCAGGCAAAGTTGCTAGTCCTGGCGAACTTCGGACATGTCGAGGACAGGGTGAAGGTAGCGGCGGCTCTGCAAGGAGCTGTGGTTCTGTCAGCTGCTGTTCTCTTTGGCGAGGGAGGTGTCAAGCTCACCTTCAACAGAGGTCTCCGCATTGAAGCCGCAGTGTTCGCGACTCAGGCCTTTAAGATAGAGCAGCCTGGTCTTACAGCTTTGCTTCGGGTCGCATGCGCCAATGGTTGGCTCGCGGTGAAAATGAGCGATCTGAAGGGTCGTGGCAGAAAGCCGAGTTTGCTTTTACGGGGGAAAGATGAAGTCGTCCAGGGGTTTGGGAAGACTAGAGTAAAGCTTGTCGACCGAACAGAATTTGTTCGGTGGGTTACAAAGACCTGCTTGAATCAGCACCTCAGTGCTCGTGTGAGCGCGGCATCCTGATTCGTCGTAGCCAAGAACCTGTAGTGGATGGGGCGGCTGCGGGGCAAAAAGGCTGGGAGGGCGACCAGGTGTTGTAATCCTGTAGTACTAAATGAAAGCATTAAAATTTCCATTGAATCATGTTACCACTTTATGACAGGGTAGCTGTGGACGTGACCAGTCTACTTCAAACCTGAAAATACCAGACTTTGTCAATCGTTTCAAGTGTAACACGGTCGTTATGTGACTTGCTTGTTTGTCGTAGTCATTCGGTTCAATGAAATTTTCTGTGAGACCGTCCCCCAAAAAGAAAACGGGCGTGAAAAAGGATGGTGGAGTGACCCACGAAGCGCTGCGGCAACAGTTGCTACGGGTCAATTCGTTGGCCGGAAATTGGAAAACCAGATTGCAGCCTTATGAACGTAAACGACTAGAGACGATCCGCACGGCCTCGGACTGTTCGGGCTACGGCTCAGACCTGATTGCATACAAGTTATTGGGCCAGCATGCAAGGACGTGCGCGTCCAGCGCAGATGTCAGAAATCGATCCGCGCAAAGTGGTGTTGCATGAGGTAGTGGCCAAGGCCTGTGGCTGGGACGTGCAGCCTGCCATGACCATGCAGTGACATGTTTCTGCCGACACCGGAAGAATGTAAGACGTCGGATGTGTACGTGGCAGGGTTTCCTTGCCCATCCTTTTCCAATTAGGAAAAGGACAAGATATTCACGACCAAAGAGGTTTCTTGACATTGAAAGGGATGGAGCACATTGCTTTGACAAGACCAAGGGTCATTGTCCTCGAGCAGGTGTCTTCCATCCTCCAAACAAACATTAAAATTTTGGAATTTTGTCCTCAAGACTTTGCGATCTTTGAACTATATGATTTTGTGTACAAGGTGATGAACACTCGAGAACTCGCCGTGCCGCAAAGCCGGCCGCGGGTTTATCTTCTGGCTGTGGTGCAAGAAGTCGGGCAAGGTACTCTGGCCCTACCAGAGAAACTTCCCAAATATGAGCAACTGCTGGGAAAACAATTGTGGCTGAAGGGATTTGTATTGGATGTGGGCGCAAAGCCTAAGTTGGCAGCATGCGGTGAGGAACGCAGCACCTTGTCTGATTAAAACCCGAATGGCCCGGCAGGGATATTATATCCCAAAACTTCGAAGGAGGCTTTTGCCGGAAGAGGCTGCGGCCTTGCAAGCTGTTCCTTCTCCAGTCTTCGCCGCAATGACTGCTGCTGCCAAGGACAACAACATATACCTTTGTCTGCAGTCGCTGGCAGCCTGGGAGACGCCATGTCTGTAAATGTTTTGGCAAGTGTTTTGATGCGTGGTTTGAATCATGCGCCAAATTTGGCCCAAAGCAAGACTATTGGCGCCCGGTCGAGAAGGGACCATCTGCCGCTCATCTAAGTGATAATTTGTTCCTGCATGGTACGCCATGTGCGAGCAACCGGTGAACGCCGCAACGGTTAAACGGCGCACGGTTGAACGGCGCCCCCCTCTCGCGGCTCTGGCCCAGGCTGGAAGTGCGAGAGGGGCTCGGCACGCGTGATTGGCTGCAACGTTGGAGATGAATAGAATCAGGGAACGCACCAGACTCATCGCTCGAGTCTGGCCTGGGCTGGGTCTGAGAGGAGAGGGAGAGAGAGAGAGAGAGAGTGTAAAACTTGCTCACGTGATTGGAAGTGATTGGACCCACCAAGCGTTCAACGATGCCGACTGCTCTCTCTCTCTCTCTCTCGAGTCTGGCCTGGGCTGGGTCCGAGGAAGGCAGCTGAGCGTATCCCACTTTCGCTTCACCATCTGCGTTATGAAGTCATTGACGAGAGGGCATGGGTCGGATGGTTTGCGCTGGTCGAAAAAGGATTGAGAAACGCGGCTGCGTTTGTTGGGAAGGGTGTGGGTATTGTCGAGAGAGGAGTGGTTTTGGTCGAGATACGATTATTGGGATTTGTGGGGAATCACATCTTTTGATTTGGTGAAATAATCACATCTTGAACCCTAACCCTACTTATGAGTGAGATCTCGACTTGCATCGCTGCATCTTTGTTTTTACGGCTGTAGCTGTTTGGGCTCAAAACTACGCGACAGATCTACTCGTCTCAACCTGGCCTTGGGCAGACATGGACATCCCCAACGCGAGTCCTTGGCGGCTCAACAAAGCCGAGAACCAAGAGTTGCAAGACCGGGTGAAAGCTGGTGAGACTGAGTTGGACGCGAAGCGTGCAATTCAAAAGCGCAAGGCCGTGGCCTGCGAGGAGCGGAAAAAAGCAGCAGCGGCCATTGCTTCAAAGCCAGGGCCCTCGGCTGAAAAGTCTGCGGGGAAAAAACGGAAGGCCTGCTCCCAATCCCACAGCAGCTTCAAGGTCACAGACTCAGACCCGACCAATGCTGCATACTACGCAGCTGTCGAGTTGGATTTGCAGACAATTTTGAAGGAATACCCTGGCTTGGAAGATGAAGCACCGCTTCCTTTGTCTTCCACAGAGACGGACAAGTCTCAGTCCGGTGTGCAGGAGCCATACAACTTGGAGAATGGCAAGAACGCCTTGCAGTTGCACCAAGTCTACCGTTGCTGCCTTTCCCTGTTTTCCTTGAACGTGGTGGGGTCACCAACCCCTGGCATTCCAATGAGTCGAAGAAGGGTCCTTGACATGAGCGCCTTTTACTACCCAAATTCAGCCCTGCCTACATGACCGGCCGGCAGGTCGAAGTCTGGGCAGACAGACACGCCTTGAGCGAAAAGCCTAAGGATCTGCAAATGGTTTCCCCCGGAGGAACTCGTTCACAGCATGATTGCGGCTTGCGCTGAAGCCATTCGGTGTCTCGTCTGCACATATTTTTTAAGGTTATAGCCATAGTAATCCTATGTTTGCTCCTGACACCCACATTGTTCATTTTTTATGCCTCTCGCTCAGGACCAAGGGCCACATGAAAGCTGACCAGTGGGACGTCTGGCGTGCCAAGTGGAAGAGTTGCTTGCTCAGCATTCCGGTCTCTATCTTGGACTCCAACTCCGAGAACGAGCCTGACCGTGTGTGGGTGAAGGCCTTCATGACAACCGCCGACAGACCGTGAGACAGGAGCACGAGTCGTCGGTTCGCACTGCGATGCAAACTGCGCTCGAAATCGACCAGTTTCGAGTGATTTGTGAAAATCAACCCGGGGTGCAAGGGACGGCTTCAGCCCGCCCAACTGGCACAGGAATTTGTCAAGCTTGGGCTAGCTTCGGTGCAGGGTGGTACTCGACAAGATGGTGAAGACGATGGGCGCCTCACGGCCAACCTCATCAGTCAGGCCCTGGCAGTGAAAAAAGGCATTTTGGGTTCACCGCGAGCGGTGGAGATTCTTTTGGAGATGGAGGCTGCTTATGGCGGCACCAGGAGTCCGTTTCAGCACATGAGTCGGTTGCATGTGGCTTCGACGAAACCCTCCACCCCGCACATGTGAGATTGGGTGCTCGAGTGCTGTCCCAGAATCCTAAATCCAAGCTGCAGGCAAGCAACGTGGCACCCATGAACGAGTGAGCCGTGCCGGCATAGTCACAGGCGATGGGGAAACCCTTTCTGGCCACCGTGACGGTGCCGTGCGCTTCCAGCTTCCAGTGTTGCACGACTGGTCGAATGCAAGCTATACCCCAGGTGGTAGATTGGGGCGGTGCTGCCACGTGGCGCCTGGAATGGTCACGAAAAGGCAGGCAGGCATTTTTTGGAGCACCAGCTCCGGCTGCTGGCAGGCTGGGATGGCGGCGACATCTTCCTCGATCCGAATAGTTGCCCGCGGGTGTTCTTAAACAACCCCCCCGGCTTGAGCTCGGGCAGCGTTTGGGTGATGCGAATCGGCATGTGCGGGAGGAGGGGCAAGAGACCCGTGATGCCAAGCCTGCCGTTTGCCGGGCCCGAAACCCTCCGCAGGCCTTTCGAAGGCAACTCTCGCAGCTACACGCCACGGCCATCTGTTTTTGAAGGCGTTCAAGCCTACCGTTTGCCGGGCCCCAAACCCTCCGCATGCCTTTCGAAAGCAACTCTCGCAGCTACACGCCACGGCCATCTGTTTTTAAGGGCGTTCAAAGCCTGCCGTTTACCCTTCAAACGCTCCTGCAGGCCTTTCAAAAGCAACTCTCGCAGCTACACGCCACGGCCATCTGTTTTTAAGGGCGTTCAAGACTGCCGTTTGCCGGGCCCCAAACCATTCAAACCCTCCCGCAGGCCTTTCGAAGGCAACTCTCGCGGCTACACGCCACGGCCATCTGTTTTTAAAAGTGTTCAAGCCTACCGTTTGCCGGGCCCCAAACCCTTCAAACCCTCCCGCAGGCCTTTCGAAGGCAACTCTCGCAGCTACACGCCACCCTGCCGTTTGCCGGGCCCCAAACCCTCCGCAAGCCTTTCGAAGGCAACTCTCGCAGCTACACGCCACGACCATCTGTTTTTGAGGGCGTTCAAGCCTGCCGTTTGCCGGGCCCCAAACCCTCCGCAGGCCTTTCGAAGGCAACTCTCGCAGCTACACACCACGGCCATCTGTTTTTAAGGCGTTCAAGCCTGCCTTTTTGCCGGGCCACAAACCCTCCGCAGGCCTTTCGAAGGCAACTCTCGCAGCTACACACCACGGCCATCTGTTTTTAAGGGCGTTCAAGCCTGCCTTTTTGCCGGGCCGCAAACGCTCCGCAGGCCTTTCGAAGGCAACTCTCGCAGCTATACACGTCACGGCCATCTGTTTTTTAAGGGCGTTCAAGCCTGCCGTTTGCCGGGGCTCAATTGGCTCGAATTTTCACCGGTACCCTGGGGCCCTGATCCAACAGACTCACATGATAAACAATTCCCATCTTTGAACCACATGAGTTGTCAATCTGATGGCCGTTATCGTATTCTGTTGTCGTTTAGTTGAGGCATTGGTAGCTGATGATGCTCCCAACCTCCAGCGTAGTAGTGCTGCATATCCTGCCGGTATTTGCAAAAAAAAATCCCAATTGGGGCCGGGCAGCGTCCTTCTGATACATCACAGAACGTCTTTCATACCCTCTAGCTACTTCTAGGTTGGCTCTTTTCTTGCTTTGTGGGCTCCTCGTTTTCCTTGTTTGACTTTTGCCTTCAGTCTTGTGTGTGTCATCTGTCCCTGGATTGGTCAGGTGCACAACCTTCATCTCTCCTCTCTCTCTCTCTCACTCTCTCCTCTCCTGCTTTTTCTTTCTTGTATTGGAGCCTATGATAAGCTGCCCTCATACCCTTAAAGTGGCTATTGGTTCCCCTTAGCCAACTCTGAAACCATTGCGCCCTTCCAGACACTGGAAAAGTACTGTGCCAATGGTGTTTGCGAGCTTACCCTTGTACTTAAGCAAGTACAGGCACCCACCACTCTGCAATGGGAGTCGCTTATCGGAGCAATTCAGCTGAAAGATCCTACAGTTTTCTGTAACATACTCAGCCAAGGATTAGACCTCAGCCCTGTATCCGTGTGTGCAGGCCGCCCCAACGTGATATTGGGACTAGCAATTCGAAGAGATGACGACCGAGATGACTACCTTGAACAACGATTGATCCCGGGTCAACGGTACCCAAGTTGTCAAGCTTGTCTTACTTACTTAGTCCTACAGGCCAGGGCCGATCCCAATATCAATCGACTTTGACAGCAACCGACTTCGATGATTGGTTTAGCCTCCACACTCGGCAGTCAGGCCTCGGTGGACCTGCTCCTGCAGGTACGTGCTGATGTCCATCCTCTGTGGGATGACATTCCCCCGCTCATTCGAGCAGTGTGGAGAGCACCACTAGCGGTCGTACAGTCGCTACTACAGGCAAAAGCCAATATGTGGCAGCGCATTCCTGTCGGAGCGTTAGCAGCTCTCCCGTGGCATCATACTGTCTGGCATGCACGCCTGGAGAGAACCTGTATGCGCCCTCCAGATCGCAGCTGCCCAAGGGCGGGATACTATCTGCTCTTTTGGCTACAGATGGAGAGCTTTGTAAAAGTGAGCCTTCACACGTCAGACACCAAGAGCGCCGCCCATATGTACGGTGCTCAACAAGCAGGCGACTAGGCAACTACGAAGAATGCTCTATAGATTAGCTCTCCCTGATGGTCGTCTTCCCTCTCCTCATCGAGATGACTCAATGTCCCGCACGTGCTCTGCGGTCTCATTGCTCGCAGAGGTAGACCAAGACCATACCTACGATGTAGTGGTGTCACCCGTTTTCCATACTTGGCCCGACTGTCTGAAAAGCGTGAGCTGCAGTACCGGTACCGGACTCATGTGAAAGTGTCATAGCGACAGTATTGAAACCCTTGAGTGCAGCATCAAAAATTTGGACTCGTTGAGCGCGAGGACAGTTTAGGAAATGTCATGCTGACGAAAGAAAATTTCAGAAACATTCATTATAGGTTTGGTTTCTTCCTTTGGGTAGTTGTTAATTGCATTGTACCTGTGTGGGGTGTAGCATCCACCGGACTGTTTCATGCAGCCTACATTTGCTCAAGTTGTAGATACACATGAATAGATGAAGACAAAACTGGTGTTCTCCTGCTAGAGTCCCACACTCCTCTGTATTGTACCACGTCATCACGATCAGTGATGACTGCATTCAATGCCAAGGACAGATTTGGGTGGTTCAACCCAAATGTCCATCTTTTGCACCAAATTCAGATGTAAATACATCATTCTGCAGCAAATTGTCCAGCTAAGACAGTTGCGGTGGTCAAACTGCACCAATCCCGCTGAAAATCCACCATTCACAGAAATGAATGTATCTCACGATAGGACATCTCGTGGTTAGTCACATTAGACTAACCAGATCGTCCTGCAAAGAGCTGTATACTCCATCACGGAGATCAAAGTTCCAACATAGAGATTGTTCAGACATTGTATTGTGGATGGCGTCCACAGGAGATGTACATGTCCACATTTTCTCATCCTGCCAAGCGTTGTTCAGTCGTTATTCAATCGTTATTCCAGTCGTTATTCCAATGATGCAAAACCTTTTTACTATCGTTTTTTGGAATAACGACTGGGAAACATGTGGAGGATAGGAATAACGACTGGGAACAACGACAGAAAGAACGACTGAATCACGACTGAGCAACGATTGGAAGCAGCTCTTAAATGCTCAGAGCTGGACAAAGCCACAAAGCCATGCACCATTCGCATTCACCGAAGCGCCTTAGGCGGGCTAGCTATTGAACTCTTGAAATCATCATCTTCTAAAACTTTCAAACAACAGCAATGCCACTCTTCCGCAAGCACGGTATCTGCAAAGTAGTAGCGAAACACGGGCTGTGGGGCAACATTACCTGCTTTACATTTTACATGTGAACAAATACGGTCCCGACATGCCTTGATTTTTGCCCGTAAAGTTGCGATTTTTTCACTGCAGCGTCTGCAAAACACAAGCTAAACTGGTGCCGTGGGTGTGAAGCCTCCTCAGTACATAACAAAGCAAATCGAAATCATTGACTCGCTTGTCGCTCAATTTCGTAAAGCCTACACGAAGATGATGCTCCTACAACGTCTTCGGGGTCAGAGGAGGATGCAGCTGAATTGAGCTATGCTCACAGGGAAGTGAGACCTCCGAAGATTCCAGAAGGATACCGCCTTTTACAACACTTGAAGTTGAAGACACTCCATGTGTAGGAGCTCCAGAATCGGAGAGTGTTGAATCGTGGGCGTTTTGTATCCGAGAAGCATGGTGCTCCAACATCTGTTTGTGAGGAAACTCGAGGCCAATCCCTAGAATCATTGGACCAAAAAGACCAATGTGGGAACGTTCCGCCTCAGTATAGAAACTTAGAAATGGAGGGGAAAAAATGAGGCTGGCAAGCTGCCTAGTGGTGGTAACAGACTTGGCCATTGTACGGTTTTGTATCTGTCTGTTCCTGTTCAAGTATCGTTTCTAGACAGCATCAGAGCAAAGTTTGGACTTACCACAAGCATGCAGTGGAATCAACCCAATCTTGCCGCAGTTTTGCGAATCCAGCCAGACATTGCTTTCTACTGGGCTACAACTGGATTATGCATTGCACTGTGTTTCTGGAATTGTTTAAATCTTTTTCATTTGCATCAAGTGTTAGAAGTTTCTTTCAATCTTGACCCCCCAACCTTCGTCGCAATGTCGCTGATTGACTCAGAAGCAGCCTTTGATTCGAGATGTGACAAGCTAGAAGCAGGACTCAAGGACCTGTTTCATGCTCAGTCCATTAATACTTTCTCCTCATTGGCATTCGCGGTGGGAACTCCAAAAGAGTCAGTGAATGATGCAGACATGAAGGCCTTCAGGGACAAGATTTTTACTCGTGAAGCAACTATTGGGGAGGGTGCATACGTGAAAAGGCTTCATTTTGAGGCCAGCACTGTGGTGATGGCCGACTTGAAGGCCCAGGCTACTTTTGGCGATACCACAGAACCTTCCCGCAAAATACCATTCGTGGAGAAACAAAGGAGGTTGACCGAGCAAGAGGGTCGCATCACAGGCTTCAGCCACAGAAACGAACAGCAACCATCACACGCGTTGATAGATGCTTGTTTTACAATCGTCGAGACGGGGGCGCTGATTTATTTGCCACCTTCTAAGTGCGGGTCTCGTGATGCAGAAATCCATACGGACTCCAAGAACAAGCAGAAGCAGATCCTGACTTTGGAGCAAGGTACTCTGAAATCAGTACATCACGACAGCCTGACCCAGGTGGACGTTGGCACGGAACTGAAGCTCATGTTTGCCTTCCAAAGGAGGGCCTCGCCTTCGGCTTGGTGAACCTGGTCAGCTGGGACGTTCATACGGCATGGACGAACAAGTTATACAGAGCTTTGATGTCCGAGCCGCCTCCAGGTTTTGGACATGTATCACTCACACAGATACTACGGGCTGATCAAGAGCTCTTCACCGTGCTAGCTGCCGAGTTTCAGCAGCCGTTGAAAGCGTCAGCGGTAGGAGCCAAACCTCCGTTGGATGACGAGATCAAGAAGTTCATGATGGATCCACGTAGCAATGTTTTCCTTGCACCGTTGCCCAAGTCGGAACACAAATCGTCGATTGATCCCGCTATCAAGAACAAGTTCGAGAAGAAACCTTTGCAGCCAAAGTTGGATGGCAACAAGGCCTCACCGCAAATACCAGCCGAGTTGCAGGGCTTACATCTCAAGACCAAGGACAACAAGCCTTTGTGCTGGCACAAGAACTTGCAGAAGGGGTGCACAAATCAAGTCAAAAAGGGCCGATGCAAGTTTGGATATCACAGTTGCATGAAATGCCTCGAACCGGGGCATGGTGCATTTGAGTGCAAGAATTGACTAGGCGCCACTGGCCCTAGTGCAAGTCAATTTTCCCGGATTGCGGAGACAGAAGAATCTTCTGGAATTTCAACTGCATCCAAAGTTTTGCACAGGCATCTATTTTCCCAAGAGGCTGAGGAGACTGATATGTCCGACCCAGTTGGGCATCCCACAGAGGACAATGGAAGGGCAACCATCCATAACAGTGCATTGGTCCTGGAAATTTTCGCAGGATCTTGCCGCTTATCCAGAACCTGTCGTGATATTGGGTTCCGGGCCACAGCAGTCGAAAAGGACAAGCAGCGTGCTGAGAATTTTTCAATTTTTGCTTGCGATGTCACAAAGCAAGAAGATGCCAAACAATTGATGGATTACACTGAGGCAGAAAGCGACTCTCTGGTCCACGCTCACTTTGCCCCTAGTTGTGGCACTTGTTCGAGAGCCCGGGAGATCAGGGTACCGGGTCTGCCTGTGGGACTGCCTGCAACAGAACGCATTGCAAGCTGGTGACATCTCTAAAAGCTCCTTGGTCGGCGACAAGCATCACGTGGGCCTGGTGGCGCTCTTTGAGCTGAAGAAGAAGGCATGCGCTGTCCAATTTTTTTGTGCCTATCATGTCAATGTTGGTGCTTTCCCTGCCAGGTGTTTGACCACTTCTTTGACATTCTGCTGCCCAAGGGCGGGATGCCAGAACCAGATCGCCAGCTTCTGAAAGAGAAGACCTCCAAGCACGACGTGTACAGGGCCAACTCTGGCGACGGTGACTGCTCCTGGATGGCGCGCTTGAACAAATCGACCATTGAAACGTTCCACCTGCTGGAGGCGCGGCGCTTGTTTTATTTTTTTAATTGGGTTGTGTTTTGTCGATGATTCATTAATTCTTAGGTTTGCATCCCATAAAAATTGATCGTCGCAGTACAGTGATGATCGTTTCTGCTTCTCAGCACCTGGTCTTTGGCCGAAAGTTTGACAACTCCTTGAAGTCAAGTTGCAAAGCCTGTGCTGTGAAAGAAATTTCTTGCTAACTGGGGCTGCCATTTGATCTGGGGCTGGCCTCTTGCCCTGTGCTTAAACCCTTTTTGCTGATGGCTGACGCAGCATTGCCTGGCTTTTGTTCCTCCCGTTTTGGTGTCAATTCTTGACCCTCCCTGTAATTTTGCTGCTCTCTGCGCAGTATTCATTTTGTTCCTCCCTGCCCGGTATTAACATACTTTTTGGCTGAATCACAACTCAGCGGTTTGAAACACATCCAGGGCGATGCCAAACACTGGGCCGCACAACCCAGTGGAACCTTGACATACCCCAGAGCCAACAGACTACCACTGACTACCCAATGGCCAACTGCCAATCTTAGAACTATTATAAGTAATATATATATATAGAAAACTATGATGTATACAGAATATAAATTCAATTGGCATTACTTCCCGGCGGCCCCGTGGGCCGCTGGGATGCCAACACCATTATCGTTTTTAATTTATCTTAATTTAACATTTTACTATTCTTAGTGATATACAGAAAACTTTGATGTATACATAATAATAATATATTATATTATAATATTAAATTCAATTAGCATTAAATTATTTCCCGGCGGCCCCGTGGGCCGCTGGGATACCAACACCAATATAGTTTTTAATATGTCGTTTAATTTAACGTTGTATTTTTTAAAGAAAATTATGATGTATAAATAATATGAATATTAAATTCAATTAGCATTACTTCCCGGCGGCCCCGTGGGCCGCTGGGATACCAACGCCAATATATTATATAGTTTTTAATTTAACACTATCTTGGTGCGATGCACCAGCGGCCCTTGGGGCCGCCGCTGCTATCACCATGGGGGTTCCAATCTTTAAAGAGTACTTCAAAATATCCCTGATGGGAAAATACTTTCAAGTTTGAGCGCTTTGAAAACCAAGTGTGTGTGTGGTTCCATCGCTGGGCCGGGTTTCATGTAAATGTTAAAAGCAACCGAAAAAAACCGAGCAAACAAAAACTCCACTACCGGACGATGGATACTACTACCTACTAATTTTGTATGCCTAGCCCTGATGACTGTGACCACAATTGCTGCACTCGGAGGAAGAAAGCGTTTTTTCTACCAAACGCATGCTGCTCTGCACGTCGTCCAAACAACGGTCTCCGTCTTTTGCAGTATCCGTTTTTTTTGTTTTTTTTTGCCACCCTTCTTTTTTTTGTGTCTCCATTCCCGTTCATACTTCCGCTTGGTGGAAAAGGAAGCAAAAATCTCTTCGTCAGACAGGTATGGCCATTTGACTTTTTTTTCCTTCTCTGACTCTTCAGAGTTGGAATCTACGCCTGAATCACCTGCCAAATTCAAAGACCCTGACGCAGCAGCAGCGGCTGCATCATCTGAATCTGCATTGAAATTGAGAACCAGTCGGCTGAAGGCATGCCCCACAGGCGGTGCTCGCCACTTGCCACCTTCGAGAACTTCAAACTCGTTAAGTGAAGGCGCGGCCCCCAAACGCTTGTCGTCCATTAAAATCGCCAACTACATTGAAAGCTAGTAGCTGTGTGTTCTCACATCATAATAACAACTTGTTAGCGACAATGTAAAAAAAGGCCTTCTGATTTGATGTAAAGGTTTTGGCCAAAGTATGAAACTGCAACCAGCGGGCTGCACCGTCCGTCTGAGCAAAAAGGTGGCAAATTGGAAGAATCAGGCCATTTAATTTAGTGAGTCCAGACATGTGCGAAATTCTGATGCGAAATGTGAAATCATTTGGCCTATAGCCATCTTGCCACCGTTTGGTTGCATCAAATCTAAAAAAAATATTCGCACTGAAACTCTTGACGCTTGTTACCATAATATTATATATATATTATATATAATAAGAAGAATATAATCAATAAACCTGCGAACAAAAATGATGTCAAACTTAATACCGTTGCATCATAGTCTTAAACAGCCCTACTTCTCAAAGCGAGGCCAGCTTTGTACACCGAATGTTCGGCTCATTTTTCTTGAAGATCTGTCTAATCAAATCTGTCTCTCCAACTTTCAAAACAGTTCAGTCAACGTCGTTCTTGTCATCGGCTTCGACGATCCCATCCTCAACTTTCTCAGCTTCCTCTTCGCCACCCTCGGCGCCCGCATCCTCGGCGCCCGCTTCGAGATCAGCTTCCTCTTCAGGAGGTTCTTTGTTCTCAGATTTTTCGGCAGGATGCAAGACTTGCTCTACGATCTTGTCCTTCATAGCCTGAAGCATCTCAGCCTCGGACGTTTAAACGTGTCATGGTGTCATGAAATGGGAGCCGAACAATGCTCCACACCCACGCTTGGAAAAAATGTTGAATCTGGGAACAGTTTGCACCTGGGAACAGTCCATAAAATGCAAGGGACTGCCATAGCCTTCACCTGTTGAACTGGCACCCCCTCACGCAGCTTCGCCGTCAAGTCATCCTTAGCTTGAACTTAAGATTACACTGAAGTCGCCACACAAATTGATGTATATTGACTACAGAGTATATAAATATACATAGTAGTGACTGTAGTATCTAGATGTAAATATAGACAAGACACGGCCATGCGCTTGGAATCCTCTTGCTTGATCATCTTGCTGCCAACCTGCAGCGTCTGGGGAAATGAGGGCAGAAGTCAAAACACATGACATGCATCAAATCAAAACATGTCAATTTTCACGGCTTTTCACCAAGTCAAAGGTACAATGAATAGCAAACAAAAATCGTTGGGCAAGTCAAGTAACCGACATGATGTGTCCGCGGTTACTCTTCAGTTGCCAGTTGTGGCACCCTTTGTGCCAACATGGGTTGTGGAAGACGATCTCACTCTTCTTTTTGTCTTTCTTCTCCAAGCCCTTATTGGCATTGTCATCACCTGCATCACCATCAAGGGAAACATCCGGGGCGGCAGCACCACCCTCCAACTGCGACTCATCTTTCAGCTTCTGCTTCTTGTCGACAGCAGGCTTGCGTAAAGCTGCAGGCCTCTTCAGGGGTGGCTTTGCCTTGGATTTCTCACTCGGCTCGGATTTCTCCCTCGGCTTGGATTTCCCACTCGGCTTGGATTTCTCACTCGGCTTGGATTTCTCACTCGGCTTGGACTTCTCGTTTTTCACCGGCTTTAACTTGTCTTGCGGCGGCTTTGAGTTTGTGGATTCTGGTGGGGCATCGTCCTGGGCCAAGTGATATCCAATCATGATACCATCAAATCAGTGAGAACAGAAGAGTCAACAACAGCCTCCTCATAGATAAGAATAAGACGGAAAGTTAATAGTAAACCACAACACCTTTCCCCACCCAGCTGTCCTCGGAATCCGTCACAGTGGCCAAGGCTGTAAGCACAGGCATGGTGTCAGTAGACCAGATCACAACTAATCAAACCTTTTTGGGCCAATTCACATCAAAAATGGGTCAAGCCAAACAAAAACTGGGGAATGCGCAAGCGCGAGACACATGCAAAAACAGCAAGATTTTGGATGGATCTTCCGGAAGCTCTGCACTGACGTCGTGCCTGCTGTCTGGCCAGAAGGAGTCAGTTCAAGTGGCCAACGAAGCCCAAACTTCAACACTCAGAAAAACTGTTGAACTAGAATCTAGAATGACATCTGATTGGTAACTCCTGACCAACAGGCAATCCAAAAAGTCAGCTGGTCCAAGTTGACTCCGCAACTCAACCGTTAAGATTGACTGCTGTTTTGGCAGGGATCGAAATGCTGGCCAAAGTGTAAATTTTGGGCTTCACAACCTGGACCTTCGCCGGCGAAGTGCCGAAATCCACCTGCAGACATCTGCAAACATCATCGATGGCATCGCCAACCATGTCATGTACAAAATTTTATCATAGAATGGAGAACCTGTTTTTTGGAAAGGGAACACTTCAAAACATTTCAGAACCATGTCAATGTCGCATGGCAGCCTCCCAAATAACTGAAGCTCGGCGATTGCGAATGACTTTGTGGAAGTTTCCACTGTAGTGAGCGCCAAGAACTCCAGACTTCACGGTGTCAGCCTCGCCAGCGGCTGCTGGCGAATGCGGTTTGAACACCCAAGCCTTCATCGATGCCAATGGGGCCACTCCATATCGAAAGCTGACCGGCACAGGGTCGTTTCCATCCTTGTGCAAGGCAGCATGCATTTTTTTAATGTAAATACATGGAACAAGAAATTAATTCCCAAAATGTCACAGTGTCATCATATAATAACACTCTTCTTAAAGGCCTTCAAACATGACAAACTCAAACAGTTCTGACCGAGACTCTACAGAAGGATGGTACTTGGCACTGACCAAATGGGAATCCACTTCACAGCTGCCGAGCCCATGGTCCACAGCGAGCATCCGCATGAAGGCACAAAAGGGCATCAAAGTCGAAGTTCGCTTGTGGACTACCAAGTCCATGTCCGACTTCAAACGGAACACCAAGGAGGAACATTCTGTCAGGTCGCGGTCTTCTCCTTGAAGCTGAAAACTACTATGCCAAAAAAACTTCAAGTAGCTACAAACGATAGCCCGTTGTACATGCACAAACTCTTGTAAAAGTCGTCAAGTAAGAGTCAAGTAAGCCGAGGCACGGATAATCATTTCCTCAAATGCCCCTGTTCCAAACCCGCAGATTTCTCCGGCGGCAATGTCCATCTTGCTGTCGGTTGGATTCATGAGCCACAAGGAATAATCCTTCATCAGAATCACAGATGGCTTCCCGTTCTTCGATTGGGTCATCGCAAGCCTCCAAGAATCAGAGGAAGTTTTGGATGAGCCACTTTCGATATATAGTAGTGATATACTATGATTTACAGTCCGGTTGCAAGCTTTATTACAATAACTAAAAGAAGATCCCCAATATAAGCAAAAAACTTTATAATGATTTGTGTGAAATATCCACAACATAATAAGTTGATGACTTGTGATGCGTTTCTAATGCTGATCCAGGCCTGTCTGTTGACAAACTTGTCACAGGAACTGCTGCCAAGTCAATTTCTAGGCCAGTGTCGAGTGGACATGCGCTATCGAAAGAGAAATCGCAAGAGCCAGCCACGCGGGAGGTGGTTGCCGTTTGCGGTTGCGATGCTCGGCCAAATTCCATCTCAAACTTGGCCTTCAAGGTTTTCAGGGCTGCCAACTCTGGGCCATCAGCAAAGCGCTGAGAAAGAACCTCTGGCCACACTGGTTTGTTCAAGCTGGTGTTGAAGGCGAGAACCTGTAATGATGGGACCTGAGCTGACCCACTCTGAGAATCTGCTGCTGCAGCAGGTCGTGTTCTCGGTGGCGCTTCTTCAGATGCATCCCATTTCTCGTAGCAAGCACTCTGAAGTTTCGACGTGATGTCAGCGAACTTTTCCTCCACGATCCCGCAGTAATAGATGGTCCCGTTGCCAGTCAAATTCATCTCCATTGCAGCACGGGCAAACTCGGTATGCCTATCCAGCCCAAAAACAAAACCAACTGACCTTACATCATAAACTCAGTGATCAAAAACGACCAAGAGTTCTGACGTCCTTCAAAGAACTAAGCCTACTAATCTAACATGTCTCTCAATGCCTAGCGGCCCTGCCTGTTCGGGACCACATCAAAGACAATGAAGCGGTCGGTATTCTTCAAGTTCATGCCCTTCTGGTAGGCTTCCAACATACCGATGTGCGTTTTCACACCTTTCCTTAATTGTTCGATCACACCCAACGATATCCGTGTACAAATATGACCTTCAAGCGGAAAAAATAAAGGGAGATGTCTCTACTAGCGGGAATATATTTTCATTGCAGAAAATATGTGCATCAAATGCGGAAAAGGGAGGAAGAAAACATCCTGAATCATGTTTCAAAGTTCGTTTCTGCTCTCTCTGCTGGCCCTGGCTTTGATGTGTCATCGTAATCATAGAATTCGGACACTGGCATGAGGGGGAGTGACTCCACACGGCCCAGTTGCACTGCTTCACAACTTTGGAAGGCAGAAGTAAAGGACTTGTGGTGGGCAGCAATGCAAACCTGATGAGATGCACGAGAGTCGGAGTTGAGGCACTCTGACTTATCGAATAAGAGCACAATTTGCGAGGCAACGGAGAGCCCTTGCTTGAGCATCATTTCCTCGATGTTCCTGCGGTGGGTCACCACGGTCGCCTGCTTGGTTTGCTTCTGAAAAGCAGGAAGCTGAACATGCCCCAGGTTTGCCGAGCTCATCCCAAGAATCGTGCTCAGCACATTCACGGCAGTGTTGACCTGCTTGGCACTGTTCGGCATCACGGTAAAGTCCAGCAAACACAGCATGTACCTGCAAGGATGTGATGAACTACAGGCCGTTTTTGCACTCAAGTACTTTCACCCTCCAGTAAAAGAAATGATATATATATATATATACAGAATATCTTTAATAAATTGTTTACCTTTCATAAACTTTCTCGCTCTAAGTTTCATGATGGAAACTAACCAAATGCTCACAAGTCACATGTCCCCGGGAATGCCCCGAAACTGCTCAGTGAACGTCATGAACTGCGGCAGCACCCCGTTGTAGTCTTTGTCATCAGGCAAACGGATCAGGTGACACTTCTCCTGCATCCACTTCTCCACATAGATTTTGCCCGTCCTTGATCACTAATGTGTTTGAGGTATTTTGTGGTAGCATGACACTTTCTAATAAGTATTGGTTGAAGGGCTGCAACAGACCTGCTATCATCAAAATAAATGAACAAAGTAGATTTGGTCTGGTTCTTGACATGATTCTGTTGTCGGTCCCGGACATACTTCAAATCCTTTGCAGTCTGTACCGCTTGATCTTCACAACTACCCATCTGGGCCCGTAGAACCGCCCAATCGCTTTCAATCTGTGCCTCGAGCTGCTTGAACGTTGCCTCTGCAACAGCACGGGCCAGTTCTTGCGATCTTTGCTCCTGCTGCTCTCGCTGAACCGATTGAATCTGAGCGACATGGCTCCTGCACAGCTTATCCATTGAACATTGATCTGATTAATTAAGAATAAAACAAAGCCCAGCCCAGAAGAAACCACCACAAGCTACCCCAAGGGCCGCCTGAACGCACCAATGGAAGATAAATCTCCTGGTGGTACTGAGCTTTCCAGCGAGTGACCCAAATCACCATCAAGATAGCCATGTAGGAACTGATCCAAAAGCCCAGCGGAGATTGTGGGGAAATCTGCTGCTGGCGCGATGTCCCTCAACCGTTGCAGAAAGAACAAGTAGAGCCCGCAAAGCTGATGGAGTTTGCAAGCCTGGTTGAAGTTGCAAGCCTTGCGGCTATCCACAAAGCAGTGGTCATGGTCAAACTCCAAGCGCTGCAAGAACAATCCAACCTTGAATCAGTGGAAATGTCAGCAGCAGTGATGGGTGGGCACAAACTTACACATGACGCGTATCCCATTACATCACCTAAAAAAATTGCAAGTGCTCCGTTGAAGAGCAAACGCCAGGTATGGTATGAGGATTCACAAACCAAAACCCTTGGTAATATGTTTTCCATTCCCAATTTAAAACATGATCAACAAACATTTATGTTGAAAGACATCTTGAACATTCTGAGCTGAGGTTCCAATTCCTGATCGTCACGGTTCGTGAGCTCATCTTTCCAAGCTTCAATGTTGCCAATGCCAGAGGAGAATCCGGTGCTGAATATACCACGGCCTATGGCATCATGAGTCAAGAAGCGATGCATGCCCCGAATCTTCACTGACTCGGTGATTCGCGAGAGAAACAATCCATTCACATCGCTCATCAGGGCACTCACCGCTGCGGCTTCGCCCTTTCCGATTGCAAATGCTTTTGCCACAGCTGTGGCATTGTCCCACTCCTGGACGATCAAAGCAAAAAAATGTCTTGAATGTACCTGGATGTACCTGGTAGTTCCTAAAGGTGCACCTAGCTTTCAATCTGAGTTCGAACAAAATTCCAAGGCCTGAAAGATCCGTTCCACACTCTTGCTGGCGCCAGCTTTTTGAAGGATCTTGATCTGCCGAATGAAGTTGAAGCAGTTCGGGGGTTTGCGAATTGTGCTCGCAAGCGTGGCACCTTTGCAATGAAGCAATGTTAAAGGCACTAATCATCACATGTCAAAATGAAAATAGATGAAAATAGTTGAAGTGTACCTTGCACTCAATGTTGTAAATTACACCATATGTCCCGCCTCGGCTGGCCATAATTTGTGTCCTGACGTCTGCATCCTTGAGGGCAAAGTTGACGTGAATTGTGCCATATGTCGCCTCAGTGCCACCGGGAATTTTGCAGAACTAACTACAAGTTGATAACTGAAATTCAAAGTGTTTCTCAAGATGTTGGAAACCGTGTCGAAACAGACTGAAACAAAGTTTAACATCATTGCAATCCAGATTACGAGAAAACTGTGACCAACGCAGCTCTCCAAGTTGAGCTCACGGATGGCCGCCAACACTGTCAGAAGCCCAAGAGCGCGCTTCCAACCTTTCAAATAACCCACGCTGAATGGGGGAAGCAGGTGCTGGTAGAGGTTCGGCATCGCCTCGTAGCTCCCATCTAGGAAGCATGTTGGCACTTGGCAGCAACTGAGTTTCTCAACCGAAATCTGATCAGGGTCGGTCAAAAACCCCTCGCTCATGATGAGCTGAATCAGCTCCAGGAACATGTCCGGATCATACAGACCCGAAGTTCCAAAGTCACTCCTCCAGGCTAGCATCCAAGGTCGAGCAAAACCACTCACGTCGAAGCTTGTGATGTATTTCGTCCTCACTTTCAAAATCAGCATGAAAACCATGTATTGAAATCTTGTGATATACTGCTGGCAACACCACCCAGAACATTGACACAGTGTATGTCACAATTAAAGATTATTGATTTTGATTGATTTTGCTTTGAAGCTTTTAGCGTTGTAGTAGGTTTTTAATCCAAGTTTCTCCCCACTCAACGGTGGGCAAAAGTTGTCGATCCACTTCGCAAAATCCATCCTCGTCTCCTCACGCCAAAGTGAGACTTTCATGATCAGGAAAGTTGAAGTTGATTTTCATATACAGTAACAACGCCAAGCAAACTTTGAAACAATGCGGGCAGCACCTCAGTGGGGTAGCGGTTGGTCAACCAGCGATCTGCGCCACCCAATGGTCTCACAGTGTTGTTGTACCTCAGACTCAGCTTGGTCTATCTATCTAATCTAATCTAATCTAATCTTTGTAATTTTCCCATTGGCTTGGCTGCGCGAAAGGGGTTAAGAAGGGCGACTTTTGTGTGCCCAAAAAGGGTTCCAAAAATAGGACAAAAAGTCGCCAGTAAAAATCCCAAACCAAAAGGAAAACTACAATCTAATCTAATCTAATCTAATCTATCTAATCTATCTATCTATCTCATTGGCTCACATGGCACTCACGATGACACGCAAACAGAACGACACAACAGCGATAGATTCCGCTGAGTCACCACTCGCAAACCTTCGGGATGTGAGGAAATTTCGCGAACATCTTGTCGACGTCAATCCCTCCATCTTTCCTGGAGGCCTTTGAATTCGACTTCGGGTTTTCCGCCCCACCTTTACTTTTACGTTTCACCGGCATGGCAGCGGCGACCCTGGCACTTGAATCAAACTGCTGACAACATAGTAGCTGAGACAAGTATGGAAGAGACACAGAGTAGCTGAAACCTGAAGCCTGGAAACCTTCAGCTTTCAACTTTCTCAATGATAAGTGGAACTGTTTGTTCAAGGTTTCAAAATTGCAGAGACAGCAGTTGAAACTCAAAGACTTGAAAGCCTGGAAAGTCGAAACCCTCAGCATTTTGTTTGTGGATGGATTCGGTAGACTGGCCTGTAGTTTTCTTATTGTATATATATATATATAGTATCATTGGTATATGATACATATAGATATGGAATAAAGAACAAAAAAAACGTTGCCATTTGTGTTTTGGGTCATCAGTATGTATTGTGTTTATGTTGTACTGGTCTATGTGCACACAACCCAAAGGCTTTTTTGTGTTGAAACCCTCCCCTTTCAAAGTGTGCAGTGTCGAAACTCAAAGTGCGGAGTGTCGAAACCCAAAGATTTAATAACTTGGAGTGTCGAAACCCATAACTTTCAATGCTTGGAGTGTCGAAACCCAAAGATTTAATAACTTGGAGTGTCGAAACCCATAACTTTCAATGCTTGGAGTGTCGAAACCCAAAGATTGAATAACTTGGAGTGTCGAAACCCATAACTTTCAAAGCTTGGAGTGTCGAAACCCAAAGATTTAATAACTTGGAGTGTCGAAACCCATAACTTTCAAAGCTTGGAGTGTCGAAACCCAAATATTTTATAACTTGGAGTGACGAAGCCCTTAACTTTCAAAGCGAAGAGTGTCGAAAGTGACCTGTGTTTCGACACTCAGGCCTCAAGTCAGAGAAGAAAGGCTCAGTGTCCAAACCGACCACTGCTTCGACACTCAGGGCTGTGTTTTCAAATCAAGCACCGGGTGTCCAAACCCACCTCGCTTTGGACACTTTTACTTTGATATTTCAATGGTAACTTTGATGTAAAACTTTGACTTTCACAAGTAATTGCTCAAATCATTGGATAAGAGTCCAAACCGACCTCACCTTGGACACCCAGAACATCTCAAGAACATAAAGCCTTGAGTGTAGCGTAGGCTAACTTCAAATACTTCAGCCCCCTAAACGGTACTGCCGCACCCGAAATGCCACAACGTTTAGGGTTTAGGGCAGCGCCTAAAAATCTGAAAGCCTTGTTTTTGCCTCAACGAACAAATATGTTGTTTTTTGAAAGAGCCAAAAATTTGAATACGTCATTACCTGTCAAGCATTTCTCACAACTCGATTTTCCTGCATGTTGCTGTCAGCCTCCCTTCCGATGGCCTTTCCCACCAGGTTTTGATTTGTTTTTACCTTTTCCTTTAGCTTTTCCTGTACATTGGTGTTCGGCTTGTACAGCCCTCTCTGAAATCAAAAGGGCCTCGTCCCACGACACTCCATCACTCCACATTCTGGCAGCAAGTTGGTAGACAGCACGCTGCTGAAACTGCTTCAAAGACTTCGCGCGCCCTTCTCCCACCCGCAGCCTCAAAGCGCGCAATGTTATCTCAAAAGCAATGTGGTTTCAATTGGTATTTTGCAGACAAGCAACCGCAAGGGATTGGGGCGAACAAAAAAGGACGTAGCAGCATTGGCCCGGAGAGGTGTGGTTGCCGCACGAAAAGGATCCCCAAGACGGCACCTCACGTGTTCGTTGAGAATTATTGAGAAAGTGAAAGAAAACGGTCGATGGCACTTTCATAAAAACCTAAACAAACCAAAAGGAAACTACATTTCTTGGCATCAAACTTTAGGTTCTTCAAAGAATTCAACTTGAAATCGTTTGAACTGTACTGTGGCATTCAAAACCTGCATGCCTGACTGACAACAAGCCGAGTCACGCATCCAAACACATCAACGGATTCAAGGGCAAAGTGCCACACACCCACTGCTCCAAGTAATCGGCAGCTTCAGTCATACGGAATTCATTCGATCGAAGAATGGGACAGTATTTCAAAATGCCCGCCTTGTACTCCTCCGACAAAGGGTTGCGCTCTGCAACGACTGCACGATAAAAGCAGGATCAAACTTAATTACAACAAATGTAAGCCCAAACATGCCAACTGTTGGAAAACCACACATCACATCAATGTTTACGTGCTTGCAAGTGTTTTCCATCTCATTTATGATACCCACGTTTCCATGTATATAAAGGAAATCGTACAACATGATGCACATTACTTTAAAATTATATATGTTACTTTATGTAAGTATCATGAATTCATATGTATATATATATATCACTTTATATATGTTACTTTATATATGTTACTTTATGTAAGTATATATGGTTCATTTCATTTCCTTTTCTTGTGTGTTTGCGATCAAACTTCTCGAATCATGGTCTCGCCTGGCGGTAAACCATGGGGCAACTGCTTGTAAGCCAACTCCCTCGGGTAGAACCGAAAAGAGTGTGAGTAGTTGGCATCGGCCATCCAAAGCTTTGTCCTGGCAAACAGCCATCGAATCGAAACCAAACTAAACGCAAACTTGCACGGACAATAAGTGTTCAAAATGGCAAGCATCACGCCTCAACACAACATCGTGTGGGTGCACACGGTGGGTCTTCGAGTACAGCGGGTCGATCAAATCAGATGCTTCCAGTCCTGCAGCAGACTATGAAAACTTCTTTTATAGTAATTGAAAAATCTTTTGGTATGAAAGCCTGGCTTCAAAACGGTGAACGGTATCAAGTTCGAATTTGGAATTCTTTTGAAACATAAAACTATGGAACATGCTGGAAGATGTTGGGCATTCGAACCCCAGAACCTGTCGCATCGAACCGGGAGAAGTGGAACACATGTGGGGCTCCAGGCCCTCCAATTCCAGCAAGTTTGGCCGGTATGGCCTCCAACAGCCATGGCCTCCAATCGCGGACCCTGTCCACTTTGTAGACGAATCTGCCACGCTCATGTGGTCTCTCCAATTCGTTGCAAACCCGTCCTAACTCTTTGTGGAAACAACTTGAGGTAGGTACTACCTTCATTTTTGCGATCTTCACAGCAATCTGCCCAAAGAGTTGGTCCACATCTTCATGCGAGTGCCCTGTCCGAAGACAGGACACTCGCATGGATCTCACGGTGTGGTTGGAAGTCAAGGCACAGCAAAGCCTCAGGAAATGACCATTTTTTAATTCCCGAGGGGTGTTGTCGCATTGAACTGTGATGTCCACCTGCGACAAGTCCATGGACTTTGACGCCAGTTCCAATCCGCAGCACACTGTCTCGATGCAATAGTTGCTGTCCTTGGGGACATCGCTCTCCGTCAGGAACAGTGCAATGAAATGTCCATGGGCAATCACGGCTGACAAATGCAACCTTGGTCGTTGCAGCCCATCGAAAATTTTCGCCTTCAGCAGCGACGCGTTGCGAGGGAGAGAACATTTGGCTTGGTCCATGCCGTCAACAATCAACGTTAGGCTGCCAGCATGGCTTCTGCTGTCAGAGCGAGATTTCCAGTAAACAACTCTATCTCGAAATTGATCGTCAAGGTGCTTGTAGAAAAGTTCCTGCTGGGTCCTTCTGGCCACCAAGTGGTGTGAGAGGCTTTGAATGACACTCTTGTGTTTGATACATTCTGTACACTCAGTGTGGGATGAGACCTTGCGAAACTTCATGGCACTGAAATCGGATGCCCATACCTGAATCCAGCAAATAGACACTACTCGTCTTGAAAGGGATCATCCTTTTTCCAACGTAAACCGAGGGAAAGAACTCAAAAATGCGACACATACTGTAATCAAACATCAAAGAGACCCGCCAGAATACAGGAAAGGAAGCTGGCGTAGATAATTTGCTTTGGCGAACATACTGAGTCCAGTAGTCTTTCATTGTCCCAGGCGGTAGGTACCGTGGTTCCAAGCTGCCATCGCGAATAGGCATAGACCGGAAAAATTTCCTCGGCTTGGCAATCTTGCTTTTGGAAACTGCAGACTGGTACGGGTCTGATTTGAGCTCAACCACTGAACTCTCCAAATCTTCTTCACCTTCTTCAATGGTCCCATCTCTCACGTCTGGCAAATTTTCCGCGATCGATGCGTAGATGTGGTGAAGGAACCCGGTGACGTCCCCCCGTAGCTCAGAGCTCGCAGCGGTGGCAAGCTTGGATTTCTTCAAGTATCGAAGATCTGCGGGAGGTCCCTCAGCCCCTGCATTTGCCGCTCGCCAGATTTTGCTGAAGCGCGGGCGTCCTCATAATCAAGTGGATCACCCCGTATTCATGAAATGAAACCCCCAGCCATCACACCCCAATAAGTTATCAGTCATCAGTTAAATCATCATTTCATAAAAACCGGTGTATTGTTTATTGCAGGCCCTTCTTGGTACTTATTATTCTGTGGTGCGTGTTTGGGTGGCTTTTGCTAACGACATACTCACTACCCGGCAGCC